GCAGGCAGGCATTCCAAACTTGCCCAAATTGGAAAATGAACACCAATTGTTTGGCTTCCAGTATTTAATATTTGATAAATATATAGCTCCAGATTCTGAAAATCAAATCCTCCCTCATTAATTGATCATTGTATTTTCTGTAAAGATATCCTCAGAATCAAAGAACCTCATAGAAATTTTTCTAAAGAAAGAATTTATTTTCTGAAAATATTTTTCAGATATTTGAAGATACATGATCGCATCACATAATTGGTTATTCAGATGTTATTATTAATGCCATTCAAGAAGACAATATTTCCATGATTATTCATGAAGGATACAGCTATGTATCACCTGAAGTAAAAGTGAAAAAAAATTGTTTTATCTCATACCTAAAGTGAAAGTGAAAGTTTATTTTAATCTCATATCAAATACATAAATCTTATCTATGATTCATAAGAGGGTTAATTTTTTCTGGAGTATCTTTTTCTCTTTGTTAAAGATCAGACTTCCTTGCTACTTTTCCATTGTTAATCCTCATATGTTTCCTTTTAGCGGCAATCCCAGTTCAACCAGTTGGAAACCTACGTGTGACTGACTCCTCACAAACCCATATTCAACTAGAATGGAGCCCAGCACGGGGGAGCACAGGCTATCGGCTCACCTGGCGCCCTGCAGGTGATCAACACTTCCTATATATACCTTCCTATATATATTTTCCTATATGTATCTACCTCCCTCTATCATTGCCACCCACTACCCAAGAAATTAACTAGCTCTCTTACATGGGACAGGTGGGCCTGAGAGGAGTCAGCTGTTGCCAGCCCATATTAACACCTATGTCATTGAAGATCTGCAGCCAGGAGGGCGCTATGACATCCGCATCACAAGTCTGACTGGCAACCGGGAGAGCGAAGCTGTGGCCATTGTTGCCACCACTGGTAACCCAACTCTCTGCTATCCAGAGATAGAAGTCTACGGCACAAAAGTTGCTAGAATAGTCTCTAGTTAGATATGGAATGTAAATTTCATATGTAAGAAGAATTAGAGACCAGACAGAGATAAACCAATCCTGTCTGATTTACTGGTTTTCATCAATGATTCCTGTTGGTCCCTGAAAGATACTTCTGGGGAAAGCATTGTTGTGTTTTCTTGTAGCTAAGAGGCCTGTTTTAGATTTTTGTTGTTCTTTCATGCAGGTTAGATAAATTATATTTTTATCTGGTATGTAATTGTAAGGATCTTCTGTAATATTGCCAAAGATCAATAGATACTTGGATCTTTCATCTTTCATAATATGTAATTCCATTGGCTGTTGCAGCTCCATTTTTAATCTTAAAACTAAAATAACCCACCCTTTAAAAACAATTTTAAAAAACAGTTTTTAAATTGTCCTTTTTTTACAAAAAATGTAAACTTCACACAAAGCAAAATGTATCACCTAAAACTGAAGTGAAGCATAAATAAAAGCATAAGTAGCTTTTCTAGATATTAGTTTAGAAGGAAAACTCCCAGATAAGGGTGCTATACCAGAATGTTGCTATTAGGCTGTTTCTTCCACACTTTTCTATAGAGCATATAAGAAGATATGTTCAAGAAACAGATAAACCATATAAGAATGTAGTTTACAAAGCAGAGTTTCAACTGTGGACATTTTTTTCCCAACTATAACAGTGTAAATTATCTCTATTTTATTGCTTTGGTTTTTATGTACAGTACTGCTTTTCTCTGTGTCACAGTCAATGTGTCAATGTGTCACAGATGATAACACTAGTTCTCCATATAGTTGTATTATACTACTCATCCCTGGTATATAAATACCTGAACTGTAAAATGCTTATGCGCTCCACCTCAGCAATCTGCTTTAAGCATCAGAAACGGTATGAACTTTCATTTAAGCTTAAAACATTGGCAGGGATGTACTCAGCCTCACAAGCATCAAGACAAGCCATCTGCTTCCAAATAAGTGACTTTGGCACTGTGTGCACAAAAGACCTCTGAAGGGCCAAAGAAGCAGCTGAAGCAGAGCAGGCAGTCCTCAATTTGCAACCATTAGTTTAGTGATATTTCAAAGTTACAATGGCACTGAAAAAATTCCTTATAACAAGTTGTCATAGTTAAGAGATCTATAATGCATTGTAGCATCCCCTACAGTTATATGATCAAAATTTGGGTGCTTGGTAACTAGCATGCATTTAAGATGGTTTTAGTATTCTGTCTCATGCGGACACCATTTCCCAGCCAGCTTCCTGTAAACAAAGTCAATAGGGAAAGGTAGATTTGTTTAAAAACCATGTGATTTACTTAATTGGGACCAAAATATCCATTGTTAAGGAAGGCCATTTCCTATGATGAAAATAGTATTCCATTTGTACATACCAGTCCTAACTGTGATAGGAACTACCGTAGTGCTACAATAGATCACAAGTGTGACGTCCACTCTCTGTGCTCATCAGTGTGAGTTGCTATTAAGAACTTCTCTAGATTTTTCTTTCGCTGTCAAGGACCAAACTACCTGTCTCATATTTATCTTTATTTTTTCAGCAGCTGTGGCCCGGGTGGCCAATTTCCAGGTGTCAGATACTCAAAAGGATTCTATAACGTTATCCTGGACTCCAGTTCCTGGGGCTTCTGGCTATTATCTCACATGGAAATCTCCAAGAGGTTGGTCCTGTATTTGATGTACATCACACCTTTCCTCCAGGAGTTCACATCAAGGAGCTCTGATTTTCCTTCACAAAGTTTTGTGGAGTAGTGGTCAAAGTATTGTGCTAGGAATGGGGAAATCCAGGTTTTAGTTTGCACTCAATAATGGAAGCTTGCAAGGTGACTATATACATGTCACTCTTTCTCAGCCTAATCTACCCTTAAGGATTGTTGTTATGAGGGAAAAGATCATATCCCATGCTTAGATATAGCAATAGCATTTAGACTTATATACCGCTTCACAGTGCTTTCCAGTCCTCTCTAAGTGGTTTTACGGAGTCAGCATATTGCCCTCAACAATCTGGGTCCTCATTTTACTGACCTTGGAAGGATGGAAGGCTGAGTCAACCTTGACCCTGGTGAGATTCGAACTGCCAAACTGCTGGTAACTGGCAGTCAACAGAAGTAGCCTGCAGTACTGCATTCTAACCACTGTGCCACCACTGCTCTTAATCTTACGTGATATAATCACATATCAAATAAAATACTGGATTTCTTCATTTATATAGTTTATTCCACTTCCTCAATCCATTCAGACTCTAGTTTGCAGATATTAATACTAAAACTAAAAGGATATTAATGAGTCATACAAAAATCCCTGGTACTAATGACTCCACAATCAATCCCCAGAAGTGTCAGATTTTTACCAGCTTCCAAAAGACCCTGAGAATGGAGACTCCCACAGCAGCAGTGTAATATAGCAGTATTGTGACCAATTAACGAGCATAAAAGCCAATATATTGTAAGACACACTATCTGCATTATTAGCCCTGCCAGCTGTATTAATCCTCTGTCATGCTTCTCCTGTGTTTCAGAGGGAGAAGAGGCACAACGAACATTGCCTGCATCAGAAACATCCCATCAAGTGTCTGGGTTGAATCTGGGGGAGCAATACACCTTTATGATTCGCCCACTGTTTGGGAGTATCTCCGGTGCTGGGGTTTCTATTTCTGCCCAGACAGGTGAGGTTTATGGAGGGATGTCTTTACCCGGGTATCCATTCAAGAGGACAAATAACAAAGCATCTGTGATCAACCAGGTGCTATAAATTACATACTTATATCAGAAGCTCAACTGCAAGTAAATAATAATATTTGTTGAATGTCATCACAGCATGCTGTCATTTTGGCATCACTGTAGTTTACCATGGACACCAATAGCTCTCTAGAGCCTCTTGCTTGCAAGAAGCTCGTCAATTATTTTGATGGCAATGGCTTCACTTAACATTTGGTTGGAGAGAAGGGCAAAGTCCTATTTTTGAGAGGGAGTCCTGGAGTGTTTGTTTTTAATGATGACCCTATTTTAGACCTTACATTTTGGATTTCCTTTTTGAAGGGTAAAAAAAGGGTTTAAAATGTATTTTGAAAAAATATATTTTTCCCCTTTCAGATTCATATAGCAAGCCATTTGGAAAACATGTTTTAAGATATTGCAATATTTAAAAATAATATATAATTGATTTACATAGGTTCCAGTTGAGAATTAAAGCAGCTACACAGGAAGTTAAATCTCTTCAGTTATTATTTGCAAATGGGGGTGCAGGAAGGGAAAATCAGACCTTTTGCTTGTGTCCCCAAACCATTGGATGCCATTCTGATTCTTTCTGAAACATTTCACTCTGCAGTCTGTCCAGATGCCCAGCGTGATGTCATTTTTCTTATACATACAACTCAAGACAAAGCCTACAATGCAGAGGCTGTGCAGAACTTCCTTTCCAACATTATATCTACTCTTCGTCCAGGCCGTGAAACTACCCGGGTAACCTACATCATCAGGATTTTGCAGTGCTCCCTGCTTGTTTGATTCACATGCACAAAGACATTGGGGTTATTTTAATTGGGTGAAGCAAATCCAGTTATAACCTTGTTGATTTTCGTTCTATCATTGCAAATCTATAGTTTGTCAGTAAGGTGACAAAAGATACAATTTGATAAAGATGTATTCTGTAACTCCATGTGGTGGTGTTTTATTTGGCCATCCAAATAGCTGTGAATCAAAACCCTGCAGGGATATGACAGGTGGGATGAAGTGTTGGGACTCAGAGGGAAAGGAGAGAAGAATACTGAGCAATTATAGAAAAGATACTTGAGTTCTGGGAAGGTAGTAAGTTTGAGAAAGAAACTCAAAACAGCACCACCTTCATTGTAATAGTATAACTTGAAGTAGATTGGGGGTTTGGTGGGCTTTCACATTTCTGTTCCAGTAGCCTAATTGCATCAGAATACATTCCAGGGCTACTAGCAACTCTTGTTTCCTAATCCTGCCTATCTTAGAAGGCTGAGAAGTAAATGAATATCACTCCTGGTTTCCCTCTGCTCCTAAGATGGGGAAATTGGCTGCATGCTATTTCATCTTTATATTCTGCTTTTATCACATTTCTTTTCTCTTTTCTGCCTACTCCAGGTGGGCATTGCGATGTACAGCTACCGAGGCCTCCCTTTATTCCTGCTTAATCGTTCCAATGATTTAGCAACTGTCCTGCAGCACATTCGCTCACTGCGCTATGAGGAGCGTAGTGGCAATGCCATTGGTAAGGAGTCGCCCGTTCCTTTGAGTCAAGGAAAAGAGGGGGGTGGGTGTTGTTAGTTCCTTGTTCAAAGAACTCAGCAGGAAGAGAAAGAAGCGATCCTGTTTCTTCTGAAATTCTGCCTGTGACCATGATCTCAATATTCACAGGAATTGCTAATGAAAACTTGAAGTGAGCAATGTATCACTAGTGCTCTTACTAAGGTGTGTGTTTCTCTGGATCTGTTGTTACTTTTTCTATGAAGGAGCAGCCATTAATTTTGTGAAGAGCTACATGCTGAGCCCCACTGCAGGGCGAAGACCTGGCGTTCCAGGAACCTTGGTGATATTGGCAGATGGGTCATCCAGTGATGATGCCACTGGGCCAGCCAGGGAAATCAAAGCTGCTGGTAAGTCACCTGTCCTTCATGTCTGGAATGTAGCAAACGTAAGAAAAGCCTTTGTTGTAGCTGCTGCTCCCTAATAAGAATCTTCCTATAGTTTCCAGATGCTTTTTAAGAGCAGCCCCTTATAGAATGCATTGCATAGTCCAATTGGGAGGTGACAAAGGCATGAGTGACTACAGAGATTCGCAGTCATCCAGATCCTGGTTGTCCCAAAGGTGCTTTTTCAAGAGGCAACTGGACTTTTTGGTTTTTCTTTGATGACATTTCGCTTTTCATCCAAGAAGCTTTTCAGCTTTGATTAATTATTCAGTTGTTTTTTTGAAAAAGCAATTTTGAGTTCTAACCGAACAGTCTATCATTTGACTGGGCTGAAGAAATAGGATTTCCACCCCCAGGGTATCTTTAAGCTGCTTTGATACAATTTGGGTAGCCCTGGCTGAAATTTACCTTTAGAAAAATCAGCTGAGCTACTTGTGTCCTTAACTTCTTCACCTGGACTACATGATCTCCAATGAATGATTAGCATGGAGGATCTCTTCTAAGTTTCCCTTTTGTGGACCTTGCAGGAATCCAGATTCTAGCAGTGGGGATGGAAGGAGCCGATCGTGAACAACTGCGTCGCCTTGTGACCAGTGAAGAATCACGTAATGTTTTCTTTGTGCGAGACTCAAACAGTCTGTCAGAGGCGGAAGTGGGGCTTGCCAATGCCCTCTGCGGACCATCCATCGGGGTAAGGCACCGCTCATGGCAGCAGGGGAGGGATTGGCTGTAGTTTTCCTAGCAATAGATCTGGAGGTGAAGGAGGTAAATGAGACAATCGGTATGGAAAAACACTGGCCTCTGGCATTCAGGTAGCAATCATGCTGTAGAAGAAATGTTGAAGGAGAAAAGCACAATGGCTTTCTAAGATTTGCATCATGTCCATAATTTCTTCCGCAGGATGCAAATAGATATGCAACAGGTAGAATTCCTGCTTTGTATAATAAGCTTTACCTTTGATCCACTTACTGTGCATATCAGGGGCATCAAACTCAATTTCAGGGTTGCGTTTGACCTTGTAGGGCCAGAGTGGGCATGACCAGTTAAACGTCACTCATGTCAGGGACGCTTGTGGTGGCCTGAGTGCTCTGCCAGAGAAAACAGGCTCCTGAGCTTTGTTTTTGGCTGCTACAGTCTCCTCCAACCCTCTGCTAGTGAAAACAGAGCTCAGGAGGGCCGCACTTGGGCAAGTCTTTCGCTATTTCCAGGGCAGCCCCATGGGCGGGATCCAGCCCCCGGGGCTTAGTTTGACACCCCTGGTGCATATCATGTCCTACCAAAGTGTAAAAAGGACTTTACCACTGTCCTGCTCCCTGTAATTTCTGATAAAGCAACTTTCTCTTCACCTCTTCACAACTGCACTAGACAGGTGATTTATCAAGGCCACTTATCAAGACTTACTGACCACTTCAGTCCACTCATCTGATTGGTCATCTTCAGATTAGTAGGGATTGGTCTCCATTTAAAAAGCGACCACAGTAGTCAGGGTGGCGGTGTGATGACCCAGGATGGGATACAAAATAAACACAGTCACAACAAACAGGAGAAGCCCCTTTTATTCCTTCACTTTGCTTCCAAGATCCAAGTATCCTTGACTGGAGACAAACAACTCCCACACAAGCAGTTACAAGAAGGAGGAAATGCCGTTTAAATTATAAAGAGTAAAAAAACAACACAAACTAGGCAAGATAAGGGCTTGAAGATGTCCAGAGATATCAGAACACACATTGGGAAGGGCGCCAGACTCAGAAAGGAACAATAAACTAGAGATACTTCCACGCTTTATTTCCAGCACTCACCAGTACGCATGTCCATCCTCTTATTCAGTTGTCACAGCTGCAGCCCAGGAAGAGGATCAAGGCCCTCTCCTCCCCTGGAAGACCACGTCTCTCCCTTATCCTCTCCTTCCTACATGCCCTAGGATGGAGAGGGGATGGGCCTGGGTCCTCCTCTGACTGCCCAGCCAGCCTCTGCCCTTCCCTAGGCTTCTCCACAACCTCTGGAGCCACACTTCCACTCCCTGTGAGCTGTTCCTCCTCTCCCTCAGAATCAGTCTCCACCAGGGGCATGAGAAGCGGTGGAGACAGGATTAAAGCCTGTTCTTCCCTCCCTATCTGCCTTACTTGATAAGTTTTCTTGCTACCTACAGTAATAGGAACTTTGTTAAAGGGAGTTGTGCAGAGAAAGGTTTTGGTTTCTTTCTTTTTCCCCTAGTCCTCCTGATCCATTTGTGAGAGAAAGGAAATGGATTTGGTAGATGTGCCTGTTTTGTGTTGGAGCCCTTAAAGAGTTCAGCAAGAGATATGTGGTAACCCCAAATCCAAATCTCCTATATTTCCATGAACTCCAAAATACAGTATTACTTAGCCCATGACCTGAGTCTAAAGCCAAACCTCTAACATGTAAATGTTTGCATTGTTGTTATCTTAACACTCACCTTTTTATTTTGGGGTTTTTTTCAGCCTAGACCAGAGGACTGTACTGTGCAGTGCCCTAAGGTAAGTCACTGACAATTACACTGCACAAGATTTCTACTCATAAACAATATTTGTTCTCTCAGATGGAAAAGGAAAGATAAAAATTAAAAACCAAGAAAAAAAGTCAGGGTCATTTGTAAAAATGGGAGAAATTCCTCTTATGGTGAGGTTGCCCCAACTTGTTATATTTAAGCAGTATCATTAAAAGAATATTTTTAAAATATTATTTTTAAAAAGAATATTCTATAGTTAAGACTATTTATTGAACACTTACTATTTTCAAAAATGTGTAAACTGCCAGGATTTTCCAGGGCAGCTTGTAATAGATTAAAATGACCCAATAACATTCTAAATAATTAAAATATTAAACATAGTAATTAAAGAATGACATTGAACTTATAATGTAATAAAAATGGCAGTAAAAAAGAATATCCATTCAAAATTGGCACATGCCATTTTCCATACCTTAATCCTGAGAACGCACCTGAAATAAGGCCTCCAAAAATGATCTCAGATTATGGGCAGGAATAGAAAAAAATATTCCACCACATATTGCAATCTTGAACTATATAGGGCTTTAGAAATTAATACCAGAACTTTAAATGTGTTTTTAGGGCCACAGCATCAATAAAATCTGTCTCAAATTCCCAATATAAAATACAAGCACTAAACTTTTCTTCTGAAATATATACATACCTGAAGAGAAAAAGAGTTATTTACAATTCCTCACCATGATATTATTAGAAGATTATTCAAAGCTCATAAACCTAAAAGTGAAGCAGATAATAAAGTGGTCCTTGTCTTCATGAAAATCCATAGTGGTTTTCCATGAAGTGCAATCCTCTATTGCATCTCCCCTTTTGGTGTCCTATTGCCTCAAAAGTATCTCACACCCTGGATGTTGACATCATCTGATCCTTTTAGGGGTCTTAAGGGGAGGGTGAGATGTTAATGTATTTTTCTTTATTAATTAGTGTAGTGGTTGGGAGAGAATCTAATTCTAAGAGATACTCAAAAAGAGGTAAAGCAAAACATAACTACTCAACCAAGGAAACTTAAATTGGCCAATCTAGATAAGAGGAAAAGAGAAGGACAGGGAAGATTGCTTTTCTAAATTGGTTCAGCACCATTTTCTTTCTATAGCATGATCAACAGACTCTCTTTGGTAGCTGGGAAAGAGGGATATAGGCTTCCCACATATTCCTAATTTAAAATGATTAATTAAATATATTTGACATATCTGAAGATCATGTAATCAAGCCTACTATTGTCTCTTTTCCTACAGGGTGAGAAGGGTGAGCCAGGTGAGCCTGTGAGTATCTGAGATTTATTGTAGAAGGAGGTATTTCGGATTCTTTTAAGGGAAATGTATAAATCATTCCTTGGGAATTGACCATTTATCTATCAATAATTTTGCAGGGACAGAGAGGACAAGTGGGAAATCCTGGCCCTTCTGGAAATCCGGTAATGTTTGGCCTTCTTGAGAACAAGTCTGTGATGTGGAGGAGGTTTGGTCCCATTTCTTGAGTTCTCTTAGTTTGACTCAACTCGCTCTTTTTTTGGACAAACATGATTAAAATCATTGGCAGAACCTCTCTCAGAATTTCAAGAGTTTCTACTCCATTCAAATCACCAGAAACCTTAAATCAGGGATGTCAAACCAAGGCCCGGGGTCCAGATCCGGCCTGCAGGGAACTTAGATCTGGCCTGCGGGGTGGTCCTGGAACAGTGATTGCAGTGCCTCTGCCAGCAAAAACAGAAGGCCGTGTGCAGCCAGTTTTCGCTGGCAGAAGGTTGCAAGAGGCTGTCACAGCCAAAAACAGAGCTCGGGAGCCTTTTTCACTGGCAAAGCACTCAAGTCACCACAGGTGCCCTCTCCGACACAAGTGCTATCAAGCTGGCTACGCCCCTCCAAACCCCTCCAAGGTCAAACACAACCCCAATGTGGCCTTCAATGACATTGAGTTTAGCACCCCTGCCTCAAATAATGTAAGGTTTTTTTAAGTTTGATATTAGTTATCTGATACGAATATCCCAAGCTTTTGAGCTTTTGATTATAGTAAGAGAGAGACAAATTCATATATCATACACACACACACACACACATTCTGAGGACGAAACTCAGTGAAATTTCTTCTGAACAAATTGACTCGAAATTTCAGTCAAATTTCAGATTCTTTATCGGAGTCTGTGTACATACATTGGCCATTTGGGGAGTCAATCAGAAAATCAAAGGAATTTATGAGTATTGTATATAACCTCCCCATAGTACAGAATAATCTTCCTAAATCCTAGAAACCTGTTAGGAGATAGATGAAAAAATAATTTAATTTAGCAGCCAATAATTAATTACAATATTTAAAATTATAGCCAATGCTAAGAAACTACAGAGCACATAGAAGAGAGATGTTGCTGTAAGAATACTGTCTGATCACAAGGAAACTGAAATGTTGCCACTTAAAATTAATTACACTTTGGTTCCCTGCCTCCTCCCACACTGCCTTCTCCCCTTGATATTCGTACTGCTGCTGTTCCTTCATTTTATAAAAGGGGGTATCCATGAAGGATATTGGGAATTAAGCATAGTAATTCAGCTAAAAGAAACAGAGTGTATTCAATTATAAAACAAAATGATTCTTTTTTCACCCCAGGGACGCAATGGGATCCCAGGTCCTCCAGGTCCAGTGGGGCCTCGGGGTCCCCCAGGTGACACTATTGAGAGGCGAGGTGAAAAAGGAGAGAGGGTGAGTTCTCACAGCATGAATGTCATGAATGAAAGAGGAAACCAAGAGCTGAATGTTACAGACTTTCCTCTTTAAAAGGAGGAACTTTCCTAGTTCTTCTTCTCTATCAGTCTTTATCAAATTTTCCATCAACAATCAATGAATTGCATTATATGCATCTTTTAAGCTAAAGGGTACCTCTACCAATAAACCATTTTTGAAGCTTTCTGCCTTCTCTTATAATATGTAGTTTAGTTCTCTTGCTTGAGTCAGATGGAACTATCTCTTCTGAAATTCTCTCTCTCTCTCTTTGCTATTCATCTGTGTCTGCTTGGGGACAATGTGGTTTGGATCTCACTGGAGGCTTGATGAGTGGCAGGTCTTCCATTATGTGAAGAGTGGCATTTTTTGTTGCAGCCCTAAATTAATTTTCTTAGAGGAACTCCAATTGCAGTCAAGTTTATTTTACAGATTTGGTGTAAATCTGGGACCTGATTCAGATTGGTGTGCTGTAAAGTCTTTGTCCTCTGTTTTTGGGTCCTAGGAACTAAACCATTATTGGAATGACAGGTATTGGTTATGCTTGTTGCAAATTTTCTAACATCTGTCTCTATTTCTCTGAAACAAGAAATTCTGGATTAATGAAGATGACCCACAAACAAACAATTTTGCATCTACCGTATCCTAAGGCTTTGTGTCTGTGTCTTTAATACTTCCAGTTATAGTTGAAGGCTTACATGACTAAATTTACATTAACTTAAGTAAACTTTTAGAGAAAAATGAGAAAACCAAACTGCAACATATTTTTCTGATGTATTATCTTTCTGTTTGTAAGATTGCTTTTATATAAGAAAGCCTTCAATTGGGAATTCCTGCCTGCCCAAAAGTGTGAAGTTATAGCATACTGAAACAGGAGTAATTTTATGGGAATTAGAACCTATTTGCCAAATAATAATAATTATGTAGCGGAATACTTGGTCTTAATTTTGTGCCATGTGCAAATTAAGAAACCTTTAATGTGCAGGTACACAGTCTAATCTCTCCTTTCTTGATTATTCAACACTTGATGACCTTGAACCAAATTTGTTAAGCATATTCATAAATATTGAATACATTCTGACCTTACAGTAGGTTGGTGGAAAGTTATAACTCTAAATTTTGGTTTAGACCTGCAAGCCATCATTTGATAATGGATAGTGGTCAAGTTCTGAACTGTGAACCATATTTGCCAGTCTTTCATGAGAATGTATTATGCATATAATATAAATTTCAACCTTTGCAACCTTCTTCTATCTGGCCCATTCTGGATTTGTTCAAATTCTTAGCCTCAGATCACGTGGTGAAGACACTTGGAATTTAGACAAAGCTGAAATCCTATCTGTGTTTTCATGGCTATGCTTTCTATTCTTAAATGTAAATACTTTCTGCAAAGATATGTCCTTAATGTTTCTATTTTCTTCTAGGGATTTTCAGGAGCAGATGGCGCGCCAGGGAATCCTGGTCGTCCTGGCAGCCCAGGTTCTCCTGGTCAGCCGGTAATTAACCTTTTTAACATTTTGCTATGTATAGTTGCATGCAGACACATTCCTATACGTCCCTAATGCTTTGTTGTAATTGAGATAGTGTCTGCCATTGTAACTGAGATAGTGTCTGCCATCTTTGAAATACATCCTTTTTTACTGAACAGTTTTTTCTTCATGATCACAGTGAAGCATGCAGTTTTGTTCTTAAGCAGAAATAAAACTTTCTAGAGCGGAAGGTTTTTGTATGTTGGTTTGACATAAAATAGAATTGTGACTTCTCCACCAGTACAACTCTGTACTATTTTAAAGGTGATGCAAGTGCAAAAATCCAAGCCCCATGCTCAGTCTCAGTCTGATGAATTGAGTGCCAAAAAGAAAAAAAAAGGATATAGATCTCTGCTTGGGGCAGAAAAATATACTAATGCTCAACACAAAGGCAAGGAGTCTCTGGTTTTGTGACTGTTTCTGCCCAACATCTGTACACTCTATTGGTCCCCCATGTGTGTGATTTCTCCAAGACCACAATGTAGATCTGATTACTTATCTATAACTGAGATACTTCATGTACCCCACACTAAGTTCATATTCTAACCATGGCTAATGTTAGCCTACTTTATTTAGATCTAGGATTTGTTTTCAAATATATTGCTTCATCTTACTCCTCGCCTCTCTTTTCTTACTCCCACCATGAAAAAACAAATCCTATTCACTTTTTTTCTCCCCTGTCTCTCCCCTTCTCTTCATAGGGCAGCCCTGGCCTTCCTGGTCTCAGAGGAAACCAAGTAAGTAAAGATAATATTTGCCATTAAACGCCTTGTTACCAACTGAAGAACCATTTACTCCTTATCTTTTGCCTTTCAGGGAGACCGTGGACTGACTGGCCCAATTGGGCCAAGAGGAGAGAAAGGTGAGCCGGTAAGTGGATCTTTGAGAGTTTGACTGGGAAAAGGATCATACAGGGATAATTTGTTGTGGTGGGATATGTAACATTTCCGTGTAATGTATGCTTTAGCGTCTCCGGCCATTCCTCCTAAGCAGTACTACAGCATCAGAGTTGCTGATAGGGGAATCCTAATTATAAAAAGGGAGCATTTTTGTACTATATGTTTGAAAGTAACAGTTCTGGCATCATACAGTAAGTTCAGAATGGAAATAATTATCTGGCGATGATTACATTAAAATGAGAATTTTTAAAAAGCTGAGAATACTTCACACTCTCAGATGAAATCTGCCATCAGAATGGCTTCATCATAATACAATAGAAAGCTTTTCTTTTACCAACCCATCTCTGTTTACAAGGTGATATTTTACTGGTATTGGTTTTCATACAAATAATCACATTTAATCAAAACAAAACTGTGGGTTTCTGATTCCTCATTTAGAAATTATCTTACTCTTAGCTCTTAGCTCCAACCCTCTTATATATAGAAAAACTCTGTTTCAATTGTGGAAAGGGAACTTCACAAGGACACCACTTCACAGTGGTGTCGCCCAAGCAGGAAAAGCCCAAAGGGAACATCAGGCCAGCCATAAAACAAACTTGCATAGGAAAAGGAATCAAATAAAAGGTATTAAAGAAGCCCCTTAGACAAAAGCCCAAATAACTAAGAAAACTAGGGAAACAAGAAAAGAAAACCCTTACAAACACAAGACATGCCAAATCAGCAAAACAAACAGACAAAAGACACAAAATATATTACAAAAGAGACAGACAGGAGATTGCCACAAAACAAATATAAGAAACCATTAAGCTAAAAAAGACAAAACCGATAAAACAATCAAACCACCCCACAAAGTTTGCCTTCCGCACCCCGCGGAGTTTACCCTCCGGCGGAAATAAACACAACCCCTGACAGGATTTAAAACATTAAGAAATACAAACACAAGCACACAGACACAAAAGGAAAAAAAGGGTATAAAAATCAGGGACTTACCATACGAAGCTAGCTAGCCCAGGAACGCAGACTTCTTGCTATCTTTCGCCTTCATGAAAAAATAAAAAGATCCAGCTTTCAAGCAGTTGTCCGTATCCTTGTGCCGGAGCTCTCCCAGCAGGAAAATCGAATCCTTAGAAGAAAGGCATTTTGACAGCCTTTCAACACATTGTAAAACGATTAATAGCTGCAGGCTGTTATAGTTCCTGCACCATCCCATCTAATTTCTCCTTTTCGTGCAATTCTTCTCTTAACACTCAGCATAAGGAAAAGTCCTGGTAAATATCAACTGTGACTCACATTTTGTGATCTCTTCAGTTTATGCTTATATAGATATTTCCATGCTCTTCTTGACAACCTAGATAGGTTCTTATTTAATTCCTAAACTGTACTATGGTAATATTAAACTTTTGTCTTGGTCAGGGGGAGCCTGGAATACCATTGAATGGAGGAAGAGGACTTCCTGGCCTAAAGGGAGAGCCTGGAAATCCAGTAAGTAACACCCTACAGCCAATAGGAGGGAGAAGGAAGAAAAAGAAACTGAAAACAGGATTCCCAAGGAAATGGAAGTATGGGGGGAAGAACTATCCTAACCTTCATAAGGTCCTCTTGTATGTGTCACTTGCCACACAGAAATATTTCTTTACAACCTATGGCTATTTACCACTTCTGGTCTCACTTTAAAACATGAACAGCAATCCTATGGATATTTACTTCGTCACAAATCCCACTGTTTTTCCTTCACGTGTCACTTCCGTAGATGTGTGTAATTGAATTGCAGGCTTGACTTTATACCTGCTTCTTTGGCTGAGTACCAGAGGGAAGGCAGTTCTTGCCAAGTGTCTTTTTCTTTCTGTCTGAAGGGAAGCCCAGGAATTCCAGGCCTCCGGGGTCTTATAGGGAACCCTGGACTACCAGGACCTCGTGGGCCAGCAGGGCCTGCTGGCATTTCTATCAAGGTAGGACTTCCTCTCCTTGCAGTGATTTTCTACTTTAACAATTGAAACTATCCATGCTCATTTCTAAATATGAAGTCAAGCTATGCAGTCCATCTGTATGCTCATAAAGTCCCTTTGTGCCCCTGTCTTCAAGCCCATTAATAGTGCCCTGTTAGCAAACTGGCAAAGTAGAAACTATCCTCCTTGTCTTTAACCTTCCTTCTTCTTGCACAGGTATGCAATACTCTGGAATTGGCCTCCATATGATTCATAGCGTTACAGTGCTTGTTTTCAAACAGGTGTTCTGACCTAACTGAAGGCATTTTGAAAGAGGAGCATTTCTCCTATGTTCGGATACTTCCAATAAATTTGGAACTGCTTCATATATCTCTCAATCCCATATATTGCTTTTCACTACACCCATGTCCATTATCCTCATGTGTAAGGTGATAGTTGAACAAACAAATGTCAATAATTTTGGAAACTAATAATAAATCCTAACTCTAATACATAATAACAATAACTTGGTATAGATTATACCTGAAGCATTTCTTTTTGCCATACTTTTTGGATAAGCTCTAGAATTACATATTCACTGTGTATATAGTCACTATTTCCTTTTACCCAATATTTGTGCTTTCTCATAATTAGTTTCTCTGCTGAGCCTAATGCATATGCTTACATATATGATAATTTTATTTACAGGGCGAGAAGGGCGACCGAGGTGAGCGAGTAAGTGTTCCTTCCTTTTCCCTGCCTGCTCTGCATTTGCTGAGATATCAGTCAGTAATTCAGTTGCTAAACAGCCATATGATAGCCAGGGGTCTCCAAAGCATAGCTGGCTGAGGAATTCTGGGAATTGAAGTCCACAAGTCTTAAAATTGCCAAGTTTGGGGACCTCTGATAAACCAACAAGGACTTTCGGTCAGAATGTAAGATTCATTTCTCTGTCCTGACTTCCTTGGAGGAAGTTCCCCTAAAATCTGGAAATGTTACTTCTAAGTAAACGTGACAGAAGAGTGCTGCTCTGAGTGAAAGTGAGCATAAAGAGTGCAGTGTGCTTCAGGAAAGCAACAAAAGGACAAAGAGTTACAGTACTTTGTTTCTTGGGTGATTGTGAGCACATCTGGAGTGGTGCAAAGTTCCCAAATTAAGAGCTGTGAGGGATTTGGCCAAGCACAAAATATATAAAAACCCTGTTCACAGTCCTCTTTATGTAAGTCTGCCTTCTCTTCTGAATGCTTTGCCCTTTTCACTTTGTTCCACCCTCCTTCTGCTTCTTCTATGGTTCCCTCCCTGGGGATTCCTCCCCACTTTCTAGTAGATTTTTCTCTCCTGCTACTTTTTTTCTCTATCCCTTTAGGATTTGGTTCCTTTTTTCTTTGTGTTGTTCCTGTACCCTTTTAATGTGCTTTATTTTCCCCATGTGAAATTGCAGAGATCCAGAGCTCACCTTTCCTTTCTTCCTAGGGCCCTCCTGGATCAGGTGATGGGGGTGTGGTCAGAGGAGAACCTGGTGTTCCAGTGAGTACATTCTTAGCCGTGTTTTAGCTTTGGGACTATAGGACAACATGGGATTTATGAATGTAGGTATTATTAATACTTGAGAAATACTGGGTGGGTATATGAGAAGGAACAAGAGTGACATTTTAAAGTATTTGTTGGAGAACATTTGTAAAACTTAAAGAAAATTAGAAAATTATAATAGGTCTGAAACTAAAGTATTGTCATAAGAGAGAGCATCTGAGTCCCCTAGAAAAATGAACAAAATCAGTAAACAACTGTTTTATTGGAAAGAATTAAACTTTGGTCTTTTGTGTTTACCTCTGTTTCTCCAGGGTATTCCTGGAGATCCTGGGCCTAGGGGACCCCCTGGAACTCCAGGACAAAAAGGCGATAAGGTAAGACATGGATCTGTTCACTGACTGAAAGGATGAATGGAGTCTAGATTAATCAAAGGAGCCCTCCATTGAAGCTGGTGGGCGGGAGGGGTTGACTCCCATTCAAAATTCTAGATAGAAGCCTTTCATGTTGCTGCTTCTGAAAATAAGTAGTCCTCAACTTACGATCAGTATTGAGCCTGGAATTGTGGTTGTAAGTTGTGGTGGTCGTAAGTTGAAGCATCATGAGATCAGGCCCATTTTTTTGACTTTTTTTTTTTGCATCCATTGGGTGCTTTTTGCCCCAAATTGGAAATAAATGCAAAAAAAACCCACTGTAAGACAGTTCAGTTGACTGTGTGACTCTGTAAATGACTGTAAAGGTGAGCCAGTTTGCAAAGCGCCCAAAATGTGATCACGTGATGATAGATGTCTGTGTGGCTGTCATAATTTTGAAAACAGGTTGTAAGTAGTTCTGGGGAGTCCATCGTAACTTCAAACGGCTATTAAGCAGTCATGCATAAGTCAAGGACTACCTGCAGAGGTTGTGCATCTGAGTGTATGAATCCAGAATTATGCTGATACAGATTAATTTGAGCTGGAAATTCTGTAGATTTCACTTCCTGCTTTTAACCAGCAAACTTCCTTAAGTTTATTATGGGTGGCCACTGCTTTGCTTTATGTTAAAGGGAGATGGAGAAGAAGGTTTTCCTGGACTTCCTGGACGTACTGGAGACCCTGGAGATCGGGTGAGTTTTTAGAGAAAAAAGTTCTCTCTTAATGTTCTTAAGAGCCTATCAAGCAGAAACCATTTCAACTTAAATTTAAATGAGTAAACTTAATAAAGATTAGCTGGACTAGCTTTGTACTGCCTAGTATTTAATATTTATGTGAAAAACTATTGTTTGTCATCCAAAACTTTGAAATTAAATTCCATCAATCTGTTCATGACACTCAGTAATATTGCTTCTTGCCATTTAAGTTTAAGAAAGCAGCTGGGGTCCTTATGGGTTGTCTAAGTATATTATAATAAATAGAAACTAAGATGGGGGGGGGAATTAAAGGGTGGAAAATTAGCCCTGTCCAAATGTGATTTCAAACCCTGAAAATCGGTATGCCATGTGGGAATGTTCTTTGATCTTCAACTTGCACAATTGTGCTACTCGTTACTATTTCTGAACAAATTAGAATTTGCCTTAAGTGTTCATGTCTCATGTCATAGATCAAGATTAAAATGCTTCAAGGTATTGTAAATACCTGTAAATGGGACTATCCTAAAATTTCTTGTTTTCACCTATCAGAAGCATATTATGCTCATGTTAGAGATTGTAGGTTATGCACATGTACACATACCCGTGTGTGTGTGTGGGGGGGGCGGAGTGTATATATACATGTGCTCGTTCATTCATTCATTAAAGGTTAAATTAAGTTGTTGAGTTTAATCTTCAAAATCCAAAAATATTCATGATCTAAATTACTGAGAGATACCTTTCTTGTTATGAATTTGTCCTGCACTTAAAAACTTCCCTGAGAAGATTTCTTACCTTTTAAAATATCTCTAATCCAATCAAAGATACTCTCTAATTTTTCAGCATTTTTCCATGGCTGGTAATATAGTGGTGAACAACAGGAGTCATTTTCTTACGTTGCATTCATTTGTCTGAATTAAAAAAATATTAATTGTTTGATTATGTATTATGTTTTATCTTTCATTTGCCGCCCAAAGTTCCATTAATGAATAGGTGGCTATATAAACTTGTTAAATCAATTTAATAATAATATGGACAGTAAACCAACACCAAAATTTACTATTTACTGTACATCATTGTTACAAAGTTTTTATTAACTGAATTTTAAAAGAATGGTTAAATTAGTTCCAAGAGAACAATGTATATTAGATTGTTCACTAATCCCCCAAACAAAAATGTTGTTACTGTTGTCTTTAGGGCCCCAGAGGACCTCCAGGTGAACCTGGGATCAAGGTAGGTGTTGCTCAAATTCCAGTGCTGCATTTAGACTTGGAAGACTAAGCCCATAACACACTTCCAAATAAGAAAGGTGACCACCACTGTTGATGTCATTAATGTCTATACTGAATGAGATAAACATTGTTCACACAGATCTTCTGTCTGTATGGGCAATGGGCAATTGTATACATTTCATTTTTACTTTTGATAGTACACATTTCTGGGGAAATTTTCTGCAGAAGGTTCAGCCAAATGCACTAAAAGGGAGATCTGTTTGTTTATTTGTTTCTTCATAGGAAACTTTTGTTCCTTCTGTGGATGAGATTAGAGAGCCCTTATAAATAAACATTTAATTTACAGCTATTATTTTTGTCCCTTTGTGAATTATTTGTACCTGTTGGTACTTCTAATACTGATTTTGGTTTCCCCCGTCCCCCCGTAATAGGGAGACCGTGGACTGCCTGGTGCACTTGGGCCATCAGGAGAGAAGGTAAGGTTTGGGTGGAGCAATGCTGTGAACGAAATCTCTGTTAATGATGGAAGATTGCATGCAAGTGGTTTGGATCAAGTTTTCAAACCAAGGACCAACTTGTATATGTGTGAATTACATAACTTGATGTTTCTAATTTCTTATATAACAATTCATGGTTAATGTAGTTACCATCATTTTACAGTGAAGTCAAATGCACTGTTGGCATCCAGAGAGATTTTTATATATTCTCTGAAATTTTTATGAACTGGAGTACCTAGAATGTAATTTAGGATTTATCTTCAGATCCATCCTTAATGTAAAAAAGGGTTTCATTTGGATTCAGAGTTTTTCTGAATGAGCAAAATAGGAAAGTATAAAGCTCAATAAAGCCATTGCTGTGAGATGCTTTTTATGGAAACAAAATGCATTTTGCCTGATATGTACCTTTTACAAAATTTTCTTTACTCTTCTAGGGAGACCGTGGATTGCCTGGTCCTGAAGGAGAGAAGGTGTGTGTGTGTGTGTGTGTGTGTTCATTCTGAATTGACCATATTATATCAAAAGAAAAAGATATAGGATTCCTGCAGATTTTACTCCGCCAGTCATTGCCAACTATAGGGGGTAGTGCTGATTTCTGTTTCAAGGCCATTGAGCCAGTACTGTCTGAAGATATTTCGGGGGCCAGCATGATGTCACAGATTGCTGTTACCTTTCCAAAGTGGTATCTATTTATCTACTTGCATTTGCATGCTTTCAAACTGCTAGGTTGGCAGGAGCTGGGGAGAGCATGGGAACCCACCCCATCACATCATGTGCCGTTCAGATCTCAAACTAGACTGCCAGCTTTCCAGGCAAACCTCTGAGCCACCGCATTGTCCCATATTATATCAAGGAATAACCTAATCCAACAGTAATTTGGATATGTTTCTCTGGAAAAAAAACAGCATGGTCTAACAGCTAAAAATTAAAATTTGGACTAAGAAAGCTTTGCTTCTAAGTCTAAATTATCTGACAGGTTTGTTCAGATGATAAAATTAGGAATATTTCACATAAACTACATGTTTACAGTACTTTTTCATTTTAGGGAGAACAAGGTCCTTCAGGCCGTCCTGGTCCACCTGGCAGAGATGTAAGTGTGAGAGTTTTTAAAATCTCAATATCTCATAATTCTGTAAAATCTAGACATAAATCAACAATTTTTCTATTTCTGGGGGACAGTAGTGTTGAATAAATTTTGGTCTTATTGGTCAAATATTGTCTATCTGAGAACAATTCTCCTATCTCTCTTTTTGAGTGCAATAGTTCAAAGATAATTTGGCGAGTCTGAAAAGAAGCAACTTGAGAAAAGGTTAGAAAAAGGATAAAACATGTGGAATTGTGTCTTGATTTGCTGTACTGAAAATTGACTCTATTCTTTGGAATAAGGGGATCTATTGGCAAATGATAGTGAAATATTATGAGTTGTAATGGAGAAGTAAAAGACGGACAAAGTTTTTTTCTGCAAACTTTTTTTCTCCCCAGATTCTTCAAGCATGTTTTGCTGTTTCAGAGGAAAAATATGTGGGGACCTAGAATGATTTCCAAAAGGAATCAGTGATTTGTAGGGAGGGTTAACAAACTTTTACTTTATACTTCTCCAGTTCATCCTCCTCTTTCCCATCTGTTGCAGCTTCTCAGTAGAAATGTAGGTTTCTTGATCTAGGTTCATCTGAAATCTGAATATTCAAGGCCAAACCGAAAAGAATTATTTCCCACCATAAGGGACATCCAAAAAGTAATCTTAATGCTGCAGTTCAGTTGTGCAATAATAAAAATATATGAATCCCTTTGAATCTTCTCATTACTCAGGTATACTTTTTCCTGCCTATATTATCCCTCAATAAGGATTCTTCTTAATGTTGGTCAATAATTCACCTTTATTCACCTAACTGACTTCAAGAACTCCTCCTGTTACTGCTGCCTAGTATGAGATCCATGGTTATTCTGAATAAATAACCCTTCCCCCCTCCCACTTTATTTTTCAAATAGGGCATACAAGGACCATCGGGGCCACGAGGAGAACAAGTAAGGATTCTTAAGCCTATGGCAAATGCTCTAATTTATATTGGGAATATGTTTGCACAGCAGGGTTCTTGAATCTGAAAGTAATTAGTGATGTAACCTGCCATTCCCATTTATGTAGGAACAATATTAATAGTTGAATCCTTGCATTGCTTTTGACTATTTCTGTTTATATTAATACTAATTTCCAGTTCTTATTATTATGAAATTGGCTCCGATTTTATCAGTCATTTGGAATACTGGCATACTTATCTGGCGAGCCACAAATTGTGCAAGTCTGACCTATAGAGCTCTGAATGGCTGGTGTGTAGGTGTGATGAAAACAGTTCACAACACATTCCTGTATCCAGAGCTTACTGAAATGGAAATTAATATGAAGTGGCCTGTTCCCCCACAACAATTTCATATACTATGGGCTCAATGAAATTCTACTCTCGGATTCTTGAGAGTCCAGTTTATTGATCACAACTCCCAGTTTTACTCCCAATAAAACTAAGGTGTGGTCTTATAGTGAGCGAAGGGAGTGAAGGTCCAATACTTTGCCTGATGTTATGAGCTTAAAGTCATCAGTGGAGATCAATAGTGGTAAGTCCTTGCGGTAAGCTTAAACAATTTGGGCTGCCCTAACAAGTTTCCTGTGTCATTTTTTGCCACAGGGAGAGAGAGGAGAACCTGGTATACCCGGTCTGCCGGTAAGTGCCCCATTGTAATCAGCCATCATAAATATCATAAACAGCTAGAGTGGGTAAAACACCGTTCATCTTCATCCTAGTTTTTTCTTTTTCTTTTTCTGGTTGCTTAATGCCTGGTCTAGAAAAGACTATATTTCTTCTTCATCTGGCCAAGTCAGCTATGGAGAACTTCATTATCCATCTGTCCTGGCATAGTTACGTTCATACAATTATGGAACGTAACTGTATAACATTCATACAACCCTATCTATTGTAACAATTGATAGGAAGTGCCTTTTTGCAAGTTTGCATTTCTGGAATATGATCTGGAAAGGTCTCGGCAAATATCTTTTTTATATTTCTTCTAGGCATCCAGCCTTTCTGGAATTAAAGGAGACAAGGTAACTGCACAGGAACAAATCTCTTGTTACAGATGTAAGGAATACACAGTTTAGATTACACTATTTTAATTAATATTAGTTGTAGCAGGGGAATTGGTTTAAAGAAACGATTTCACAGGACTATTGTGGCTCTCTTTTTCTAGGAGTTTCATTTTGTAATTTGATTTAATAAGAAAAAGCAATGCTCAACTTAAATGTGTCACATGGGAAGTAGGAATATTGTCATGCCACTATGGAACATTGACATTGTGATTCTGTTTTTCCCTTTTCAGGGAGAAAGAGGTCTTATAGGACCTGAAGGTCCACCTGGACTTAAAGGAGATGCTGGGGACAAAGGAGAACGTGTGAGTACTTAAGGTTATGGTTAGATATCATAATATATTGATTATGATAATGCAGCCTGATAAAATGATCAATGCAACCCTGAAATAAGATGGGTGGCCAATTTATTTTATAAATAAAATAAATAAATAAATAAAGTTTAATTTTTCCTGCTGAACAGCAAGCTAGGATGTTAATTGCTTCGATTTCTGTTAAGGCTTGTTTTCACTTTTAGATATAGCCTGATATTATTACCTTGTAGGACTATCTGCCTTGGAGAGCAAAAGTGAGGACCAGGCTAAGATGGCTGTGAAAGTTACTGTTGGCTTCATTATTAGAATGGGATGGTGGTTCTTCTTTGATAGAAATGGGGAATATATTTCTTCTTTCCAAATACGGCCTTCAGACTCACCTGCTAAAAAAGAATCTCTCATGCCATTTCGCCAGATCTTTCACCAGACATATTTCAGGTCACTGATGAATACCCCCCACCCCCTCCAAATACTCTTTGTGGTTCAATTTCTTTTCATTGCAGAACATTTTCCAGATCTTCTCAATATTTGTGATCTTAAAGATGATAGCTTAGTAATAATGATGGATATGCATATACATATATGAATATAAGACATCCTTTTAAGTCTTTCTATTCCATGTTTTTTTTTTTATTCAGGGACCTCCTGGTCTTAGTGTCCCTGGCCCACCTGGCCCAAAAGGAGAACAAGGAGAAAATGTGAGTCCTAAATTCATGCCGATGGTACATCTTTAAGGCTCTGGCAGTCTCCCTTTTTTCATTCAGAAAGGGAAGGGAACCCTGTAGAATAGACCACTAGACTCCCTAGTTACATTTCAATTTAATGAGCTGACATAAGTGCAAGGCTTTGGCTCCTAGCTCCATCAGGTCTAATAAAAGAAGGCTCAAGTATCACTTGTCTTTGTACAAATAGTAGATATGGGCCCAGTCTCTCTGTGCATTCACTACAGAATGCAGAGCAATGTATGTACCCTTGCAGCTACTAACAGGTAATAAAGCTCTGCTAGTTTTTTTTCATGGAGTATTTCTTAGTCCTTGTCTAAAAGTGATTTGCAACAAGCTTTCTTATGCAGTTTTCCTGACTTAATCATTTGACTCACAATAATTATCAGTTTTCTTTTTTCTTTCAGGGAATTACAGGACTGGCTGGCAAAACTGGCCCAAAGGTGATTATTGTGCATTGGAGGAAGGGAAGAAAAGGACACTGATTTGGGCTCTGGGCCAGGTGGGTGGGTCTTACATGGGTATGGTAATGATACATAACCAGTCTTGGGTAGGTGGACAGTTTGGGAGTGTTCTTCAAGTCGTTGCTAATGGAGAGGCACAGATTTTAGCAGCAACCAGACACATTACACTCATTGGTGGGATTCAAATTTTTTTACTACCGGTTCTGTGGGCCTGTCTTGGTGGGGATGACAGGGGAAGGATACTGTAAAATCTCCAATCAGAGGTGGTATTTGCCGGTTCTCTGACCTACTCAAAATTTCCGCTACAAGTTCTCCAGAATTGCTCACAACCTGCTGGATAACACCTCTGATTACACTCTCTGGCTTCTGCATCAGTTATAGGTCTGGCTGAATGCATTGGATTTCCTTCAGCATAGACTTTTGGTAAACTATTGGAAGGTGTTTTGGTGGGGCTGCTACTTTCTATCAGTAATTAGATAGTAATCAAAGTGGGAGTAGAAGGTTTCCCAACTTATTTCCCAGAATGTTAGTCATTAGATTTAGTTTTCTTCAGAATTTTTCTGTATTTACTTAATTTTTCCCCCTTGGGATGATTCACTTCCTTAGGGTGATCCAGGAGAGCCAGGGGAGAGGGGAGAGTCAGGAAGAACAGGTCCCGCAGGACCAACTGGCCCACGAGGAAAAGAGGTAAGAAAAGGAAGAACCCTACCATTTCTTGGATTTGGCATGTAGACAACATAAATATTTACTTATAAACTCCTACTGTCTCTATATTTCTAACTGTTGTATCAGTAGTACTGTAGCTATAAATATTCTTCAGTTAGAATGGTGATCCAATGGATTCCATCATAAATCTTATCGACTAACATAATTGATTGAGAGTACCCCAATCATGTCTAATATCAGAACTGATAAAGCTGCAAAGACACAACATCCATAGAAACCTTTAAGAGTGTGCCATCACAATATTAGCATATCACCTTTGAGCATCACCTCACTAGTGATCTCAAAACTGGATTGATTTCTTCTCAGGTCGCCGGAATATAGTCTAACTTGTTTAGCAGAACTTACTTCCTGGAAGGTCAGGTTCATTTTCCTAGGCATACATGAAGCTGGATGGCCATTTACAGATAGTCCTTGACTTACAACCACAATTGAGCCCAAAATTTATGTTGTTAAGCGAAACAGTTGCTCAGTGAGTTTTGCTCCATTTTAAGACCTTTCTTGCTACACTTGTTAAGTGAATCACTGCAGTTGTTAAGTTAGTAATGTTGTAAAGCGAATTTTGCTTCCCCATTGACTTTGCATGTCAGAAGGTTGCAAAAGGGGATCCTGGAACACTGCAACCATCATAAATATGAGTCAGTTGCCAAGCATCTGAATTTTGATCACATGACCATGGGGAAGCTGCAGTGGTTGCAAGTGTGAAAAATGGTCTTAAGTCACTTTTTTCAGTGCTTTTGTAACTTTGTACGGTCACTAAATGAACTGTTGTAAGTTGAAGACTACTTGTATAAGAAATGCTGCAGCTGCATCCTGCATGTAAAAGATTGCATGAAATAATTTCCATCCCATGGACCTGCAGAAAGAGATGCCAAAAGTGAATTTGTAACAAGTATTTTTCTTTTGACATGCTAACATGTCAGATTGCAATGTTAGGGCACTAAGTATATTCAGACACAGAGTGTATGATAGAAGCAATGGTCGGATGTAATCTTTCTGCTGTGGATTTTAGGGTGAAAGAGGTGACAAAGGAGAGGAAGGAATCCCTGTAAGTAATTGTCCCAATTTCTCTATTATCCACTCTGGCGCTCTATTTTGTTTTGTTTATTTTATTTTATTCTTTTATTTATTTTATTACTTTACACTTTACTTTGACTTTTATTTTACTTCCTTCTTTTTTCCATAGGGTGAACCAGGCTTGACTGGGAAACCTGGAGAAAAAGGTCCGCGGGTAAGTATTGCAGAAGCACAACCCAAGAATTTCTGTTAAAATGAGAAAAGAAAATATAGTGTTGTAGATGCACAGAGGTTGGATAGCAATGCATTACTGCAGTGCATGGGGCTGCCTTTGGAGGCCATTTGGAAATTATAATTTTGAACTGATTATGTATCCTGAGTCTGAGTTCAAATATCACACTTAATACTTTATGTATTAAACTGCCAGGCATCTTTTCAGTTTGGCAGTACAGTAAATGAATGACTTTTCTTGTTGTTGCCTGAGCCTGAGCCAGAAACTAAAGAATACTTTCCTCCTCTAAAGTTCTTCTCTGCATCTAGCTTGAAAGGGTGATTTGCATCAGCAGTATGGATTGGCATTGCTCACAGGGGCTAAACCCGTAGACTGTCAGGTGCAAAGTATCAGGGCCGTACCTTAAGTTGCAGTTCAAAAAAGATTTATTGCTCAAGCCTATACACAGGAATCCAGTCAACTCACAGTCAATACTAAATTGGCACTACATTACAGTTAATAGAATTCAGAGTGTGTGTGTGAATTTGGATTGTTTCTGACAATGTAATGACTCCAGATTGATTATTCTCTTAACTCCACTACATGGCTCTGCTTCTGCTTCTCCTACATAGACTGAAAGTTTATTATAATGTGCTAGTCCCACAATCTTGTATACAGTTGGAGCATTTTCTAGCATTATTTTTTCAAGTCCCATCCTTGACCAGCCAATTCCAAGAAAAGATGTCTCCACGTATGGAATTATCAGATTCTACAGATTCTTCATTTCTATTTTTATTACATAGGGTCCTCCAGGCACTAGAGGCCTTCCTGGTGAGAAGGGAGACCAGGGTGACCCAGGTGAAGATGGGAGAAATGTAAGAGCTCATTCCCATTTTCAAGTGCCATTGCAGAATTTGACTGCCAAAGCCTTGCCCAGTTTACAAAAATGTTCTTTTCTTTTATAGGGCAGCCCTGGACCATCAGGGTTGAAGGGTGATCGAGGGAGTCCCGTAAGTCATCATGCCACTTTCAAGGAACTTTTTTTCTTACTGAAGTTTGTTCTTCCCAGTCTAAATCTATTTGGTCTCCAGGTTGCTATATATTGAAACTGACCACAAATATAGAACCAGCCTATTGAGGGTAGCAGTAGTGTTTTTCTTTTAACCAGGATGCAAGGAGTGAAGCTACAAGTTGGAAGCAAGTGATTCCCAGGCAGGAAAGGACTGTTTGATAATAGAGATATTTAAGCAGGTATAAAAAATAGAACTCTGCAAATTGAGAAGATGTTTCACTCAGAAGCACAAAGCCCCTCTGCATCCATCCTTGAAAGCATGAGGTACAAGGGCAAGAATTCCTTTCTATTGGGCAAGGCATAAGTAAAGCTTTGTGACCCTCAAAGCATATCTCTCAGATGCCCACTCCCTGCTGAGAAACCCCCAGCTCCATGCACCCATCCAAAGTGCAGGAGTTTAGAGCATGAAAGAGGGAAAGATAGGATCATATACACCTACTTCTTCTCTACCACAATAGAAAAAAGCTCCTTCTCTGCAGATACCTAGTAATCATCCAGATCTTTGTAACCCAGGTATGGTATATGCTTATTCTAGTTCACACAAAATGTGGAGGAAAACAAAAGATAGGGTGTCACCAGCAATAATCCCTGGCCTAGGTTCCAAGAGCCGTGGTAGCACAGTGATTAGAGTGAAGTACTGCAGGCTACTTCTGCTGACTGCCAGCTGCCTGCAATTTAGCAGTTTGGATCTCACCGGCTCAAGATTGACTCAGCCTTCCATCCTTCAGAGATCGGTAAAATGACGACCCAGATTGTTGGGGGCAATAGGCTGACTCTGTAAACCACTTAGAGAGGGCTATAAAGCACTGTAGAGCGATATATAAATCTAAGTGCTATTGCTATTCCTATTCCAAGGGCTCTGTAGCACCTACTTCTGTGAAGTGACAGCTGACCCAGAAGTCACAGAGGAGGAAGTAGTAGAGGTAGATATACTGTAACAGTGCTTACCTATCCATCCAAGCTGCTCTTTTTTGTGCCTTCTCTGGGGTTCCTGTTCTTGGTTTACTATGTTTGAATTGCAGATACCTGGGCAATCACTATAAATTGCAGAAAAGAGATACTTCAGGAATGCCTCCAGTGATTTGTGGATGCCAAATAAGAACTAACTACCTTTCAATTTATTAAATGTGTATAATGCCATCCATAAGGAAAAAAAGAAACATATTACAAGCACTATAAAATTCTCACTTCTTATTTTAATCATTGCTGCTTCCTTGTCCCCTTTTTTCTGCAGGGAGAGCCAGGTCCTCCAGGCCAAACTGTGAGTGCCATATTTTTGTTTCCAGTATGTTGTTTTAAACTTTGATTCTCCATATTCCTGATGTACTATTTCATTTCTGGTCTACAGGTTGGTGTGGGACCTGGAGAAGGAGGGCAAAAAGGTGAAAAGGTAATCCTGCTATAAAGTCCCAACGTGGGTTGTATTTCATCTTTTATTACCACTTGTTAAGTAAGCAATTCCTACAACACTGAATTTACTTTTACAATTCTTCTGACTAAGCACTCATCCTATCATCCCATCTCAAAACTGACTATAATAGCATTAGCAGAAGCACAGTCTTATACACAGCTGTTTTTGCTTCTTTCAATACACTTTCATCCCACACAATAGCCCACGTACTGCCTGCTCTCTTCCGATCAGTTTTGTACATCTTACAGTGTCTTCATCCCCTGGCTTTTCTTGAATAAACATTCTAAGAGGGAATTCAGACTCAGCCACTGTGCCTAGTTTCTCATTGTCTGTGTATAGCTTGCAATTATTCATGTTAGTATTTTCCTTGCCCAAAACAATATTGGTCTTTAGTGGGATTAATTCTCAGATCCATGCCTCTCACTTTTTAGATTATTTGGATTCATTTTCTTGACATGTCTTGTCATTTTTAGTAACTTTGATGACTTAGGTAAAGCCTGGATTTGTTTTGTTACAATTTTTCCTTTTCACCATGATGTCTTCTGTTTTTGGGTAGCTTGATGTAAATGTTATGATGCTTAGAGTGTCGTGATTGTTTAATTATGCACAGGGGGCAGTAAAATAGTCAAAATTGGCTAGCAGAGTAAAATAAAATAGAATATGAAGAAAACAAATAGAACAGAATAAAATAAAACATAGAGCAACTGGGTTGTCCTGTCGGCTCATTGGTGCCATTTTCCTGCTCCTCTTGTTACTGCCTCGTTATAACCTATTATTTGCCTCAAATTATCTAGATTCACTACAGAACAGTCTTGTCTCTATACATAACTAAGTGTACATTTACATCTCCAAGCGCAGACTTCTAATGTTGCCACAAGCATTCCTCATACATTCCTCAGAAATATATTTAATATATTGTTTAAATATATTAAACAACATCATGAACTTAATCTGGGCTCAATATTGATTGATTTTTTAAGCATTCTATTTATTCTCATACTTGGGAATATGTTTCCTTTCTATAATATACCATTCTTAATCACTTCCAATGAACAAAAATTGTATGTTTTTACATTTCTCAGTGATTTGCTAAAGATCAAAACTATGGTCAGCACTGTCAACAAAAGCTGCACTGCACTTTTGAAATTTTGTTCCTTGTCACTTCATACACTTTAGATCACAATTCTACCGTATGCCTTCCCAGACAGCACACTTGGTCAATTAATTCCCATGTGGTTTGTCTGTGCACTCTGCTACTTTTATTTTGTATAAGGAAAGGAAAATGACATTCTTCCAATCATCAGGCAAAGTTCCAGACTTCATATGTAGATTGCACAAATAACACAGCTACTCCAGAAGCAAAAAAAAATCCACATTTTAATCTTTCTCCAATTATATCATCATTTTTCAATATTCTCATGGCATTTATTACTTACTTTGCATCATATCTATATCTATCTCAAGTACAAATGTTTATAGCATCTCAGTTCCTTTCTTCTGGGTATAGCTATCATTCCTATGCAAATCTCTCTAATACCCTTCCCGCATTATTCTACTTCAATTTTATACTAAATTACTTTTAGGATAAAACCTCATCACAATTTTTGAGACTTCTTAATTAGTCATCTTTCCCCACGTGTAAAAAAAATACATTTCCAACAAAACATTCATGCATTTTAATTATTTTAATGTTAACCATTTCTTGCTCATTTTGATTATATTCTTTGCAAAAGTGTATGTATTTTTATTTATTCATTTATTATTTTAAGTTCAATTTCATCAATTTCATAGCAATGCTAGGCAGCTTGTAAATAAAAAAATTAAAAGACAATAAAATGTATCAAGAAGGGAAAAAAAGCCATTTTTCTCTTATCATAATTTCTGGCAGTAATCATTTTCTCATGTGTATTCTTTCTCATCCATGACCCTGTCACCTCATTTTTCTACCAAGCATGTAATATAATTCTTTGTATTTTGTTGCAAGCAGCTTCCTCATCTTCTTTTGCTTCATTCACTACCAACACATTCTGTTTGAGAGATTAAATTATTTTCCTGGAGGACTCTTCCTTCCTCTTCTTGCAATCATTCTATATTTACTCATTTCTTTTATTTCTTTCTTTTCTTTGCTTACCCATTTTTCCTAAGATCCACTTTTTACATAACCAAAAGATGGCCAACCCCATATTCAAAAATTCTCATCACTGTTTCCTTCACTGATTCACCTGGTCTTCCATCATAACGAATGAGATCAGTCGTGCTTTTAGATTTATAGTCATTCATTTGCCATTAATAGACTTGAGAACATATTTGAAACCAACATTTTTCTAAACTACGGTAATTCCTTGTGCCTGGTTCCTTTTACTTTTTTATACTCTTTCATCTCATTCACATCCATGCATTTGTGTCACCCATAGAATACAGTATATATTCCTCTAGCTCATATTTATTCAGAACTCTGCATAATTTTTTCCAAAATTAATCAAAAGTTCTTTCCATACACACTGTTCATTTGAGTATGATGTGTAACTGCTACCAACCATAGATTCCTACTTTTGTGCATATCTGTACTAATCTACACGACACCATTTTACCATTTCTCAAATTCTTTTTAATTATTTCATTTATCTTTGCTTCCCTGTAGTGATCAACTCCACAAAATCAGATAACTTTCATTCAGTTTTATTACAAATGGGAGAGAAATATCCCAGTGTGGAGTGACCTTTCCAGCATATCTGGCATGCTATTCTGAGAAAATATTATTCATTTTCTCAAGCTGGACATTCTTATGTATTCCTATCATAACTCACTTTATGTACCAGTTTTCTGAATCTAAATTAGTTCTAGCATTTTAAAATAATATTTTAATTCTTTTTCTGCACTCCTGCTTAATTTGCGATATTAGGTATTTTTCTTCACCTGCTGAAGGAATTTAATAAAATCTGCCCATTTGTGTAAAAATGCATTTAATGCCATGTCTAGTTTGGGCCTCAGAAAAATTGGGATTCTTTACATACGTCAAAATTAGTTTCTGTACTTCAGCTTATAAAAAATAAAACTACTTGTGTGCTAGTTTGTCTTTTTCCATTTTAGGGGGAGCCAGGAGACCCTGGAGAGGATGGCATGAAAGGAACAAAAGGAGAAGTTGGTTTACCTGGCCTACCAGGAGAGAGGGTAGGATTCCAGTTGTTACACTGCATCTTTCAAGAAGGAAATCTGGCGCCTGCTTCAGCTGTTCTAGTCATGCAGTTAAACATGGAGGGAAGGCATGTGGGGGCACATTGGCACTTTTAATCCTTCCCTCTTTCTAGCATAAGTCCAGGATTTGAGATGGAGGTAAGCTTTTGAAACAGATAATCTTCTCTGGTATTGAAAGAATTTCTTGTGATTGAAAATAATCATAATCAGGCTTCAAACTCAAATAGGCAGAGTAAGCCCTCTGCTTCTGAAACTCACAGAAAAGAATCCACTCATTAGGAAAGGTGGATATGCTGGTAAGTGTCAATGCGCTCTCAAGGCAGCGCGTCACTCTCTCCTGCAGTGAGAGAATGAAACATGAAGAGCACAAGAAGAAATCATGGCTTGACCAAGTCCTTTGCAGTATGAACAGTAGTAAGGGGAGACGGGAAGAGGTTTTGGGAAGGCTTGTAAGACTACAGTTCAGGAAACTGGTATCAACCATTCCTTTTCTATAAGAGAATTGCAGAGACATCTTTATCCCCTCTCTTCCAGGGAATTGAAGGTCCCAGAGGGGTCCCTGGAGTTCGTGTGAGTCTTTTTTCCGCCCACTTTTCATAAGTTTCAGAAGGGAATGTAATTCTGTAGCTTCCTGTGGGATTACTGAATAACAGAAGGCCCAGTCTGCATAACCATTTTTTTACTTAGATGGTCTGTCAACTGTCTCATTTTGCAGGGTGACCCTGGAGACCGAGGCCCAGTAGGAGAGAAGGTAAGAGTTCTGATTTTGTCATTTACTAGAAGAGATGATGGAAGAAAAGACACTGGCGAAAGCCATGAAATCCCACCAAATATTTTGATAAAGCTACAAGACCTGATATTTTCATACAGAATTTAGAGAGAAGCTTCAGTTTTTTTCTTTCTTAAAAAACAAAACAAAACAAAACAAAGTAGCTTCCAATGGATAAAAGTGGATTATGTATGAATTATTAAATGGCCCGTCTCCATTGTCTCATGAGCAGTAATGTGTAATTCCCACAGTTCCTACTTGTTTTCTCATTCACTTATTCATTTAATTTTTTCTTCAGGGGGATCGAGGTCCTCCAGGCCTGGATGGTCGGAATGGCATGGATGGAAAACCTGGACAAATAGGCCCTTTAGGCCAAAGAGTAAGTCTGATACTTGGTGCCTTCAGGTATATCAGGACTACAGCTTAGATTTAACAGCTGTTAAGTCATGATGCATTCCTCTTAGCAAAGTCAGCTGTTTATGGGAAGTTGCTGCTAAGTCCAAAAAAGTATTTTGTACTGATAGCAATGCTCACAATAATGGAGTCACACTGAGGATCATCTTGTTCATTCCAAAATATAAAAATTAATTATCATTGGTCTTTACTGGAGCATACTCATTGATTTTATATATGCAAGTTTTACTCTCATGGCATTATTTATTAAGCAGAACAATATAAAGAAAGGATGTCTTAGGTACTACTGTACAAATGTTTATGTAGATTTTATGAGATCATCACTATAGCCATTTGTCACCTAGAAAAAAGGAAGTAAAACAACCTCAATGGCATGAGCGCAAGGCACAGTTCAATGCCTGACTCCTGATTGCATCCTTGCTTTATTTGCTTAGGGTGATCCAGGAAAGCAGGGTGACCCTGGTCGAGATGTAAGTATAAAAAACAACAACACTGACCTCTGACAAGCCTAAATAAGATGAGCGGTTATTTTCTTCTTGTTTAATTGATTTCTGAGTAATCTGCTTAGGTAGCATTCTTTCTTATATTGAGGAGTTGGCACATTTTCTATCCTAGATAACTAAATTTGGCTACCATGTATATCTTTAGAAGAGGAGGGTTTCTATTTTATTCTGCATATCCACAACAGTCTTTTTTTAAAAAAAACAGGGCTTGCAAGGTCTTCGTGGAGAGCAAGGTCCTCCTGGAGCAATTGGCCCACCGGGATCTCCAGGACCGCCTGTAAGTGAAATGGATTAAAAGACTGATGTAAATCCACTACCCATATGCAACATATGGGGCTGAAAGCCAATATCCATATTTTCCAGTAGGAGCATTTGTTACGTGGGTGGTCATGTCTGTGTTTATCACCACAGCTGGCCTCTGCTATTGGGTAAATTGCACAGATCTAGTGAATCAACATTCAGTTGACTACAAATAAAGGCAAATTGATTAGCCCACAACTGTATATACTAGTAGTATTGTATACCTCGGCCATAAAATGTTTTTTACTTACTTTATGTATTTTATTTTGTCAAGCGATTATAAGATAATAGGTATAAGTATAAACATAGTTATGAATACATGAAATGGATACATATAAGAAAAATAAAAAGAAACAATAGGACAGGGACGGTAGACACATTGGTGAGCTTATGCACGTTCTTGCACTTTCCTTGCTATCTAGACCCATATAGAAATTTAAGACACATATTAGTTAAGTTTTCCATTTCTGCTTTTTAAATTTTAAAAGTATTTAGGTTGACAAATATAGCAAGATTAGTTAATAGAGAGTAATCTTGGGCTAAGGTGATTAATAATTAAATTGTATTCAATGCTGCATTCATGTGGTGATTTTGGCAATTGAATTCCCATCTACCAATTTAGGCTTACAATTTAAAAAGATGCAACACACACACACACACACACACACACACACACACACACACACACACACACAAAGAAAATGTGGGATAAGGAAGAAGAAAAATAGAAACTGCACCAATTAAGGTATTAATACTATATAGATTTTATAATGTCTGTGGATAATTAGCCACATGGAAAGTTGTCTCATCATCTAGAATTCAACAAAGTCGTAGAGAAAGGAAAGTCCAAAATGGCTGCACTGTCAACCAGTTTTCTGTTTTGTGGTCCCATGGAACAGCTGCTGGGTGAGAGTTTTGCAGAAAGACAGAACCTGATAAACTTGTCAACAAGAATCTAACTGAATTTCTCTTCACTTGAGTTTACTTCACTAATCCTTGGTTGCAACAAAGTCATATATTCTGTATGGATTCATCCATCCTGTGTGTTCCTTGCTCCCTGTGCAATTCTACAGGCCTGTTGCTGTCAAGCTGGTAAAAGCTCTCTTAGCTGGCTGATTTCCACCATTTCTTTTCCAGGGCAAACCTGGTGAAGATGGCAAACCTGGGCTGAATGGGAGGAATGTGAGTTTGGGATCTGATCCCTCTGACCTGCTAGAAGTGGGGCTTCAGGTCTGACTGGCAAGGCCTGTATTGGGGTGGGAATAAAGGGAATTATTAAAATGTGCTATTTTCTTTCATTCTTCTAATAGTAAGGAGTATCACAGCATATGCTTCTAAACTAATCTGAAATACAAATGTGAATAACATGTTTACTTTCCAGGGAGAAGATGGGATCTCGGGAGAAGATGGGAGAAAGGTATTTCTTCTTACATACTTCCAGCATTTCAGCCAAACTTCTATCTCTTAACTAGAGATTAGAACCAAATTCCTTAAGAAAGGTCGCTGATCACCTCCCTATTTTACTAATAGATTTGGGCTATGTTTAAATTTAGAAAATGCCATCAGAGGCACCATCTATATTTCTTGTTTTTCCAAGAGCAATATACCAATCCAAATAAGCCTTTCTCTGGGAAAACTGTTCTTAATTCCACCACCACCCAAAAAGAAAATAGGAATATTCTTTAGGAATTCCAGTCTCAATTTCATTCCCTGTCTCACTTCATTTTCCTTCCAACACTGAGCCAACATTTTACACTTGGCATATTCAGTCTTTGTTGCCCTTTCCTAAAAATAAATAAATATTTTTGTAAGTGTTGAGCAGGCCAAGAAATTAGCTTAGGTACCAGTCTAGAGACATAGGAGAATAATTCTTTTGCCAGCCAAGAACCAGCAAATCTAAGAGAGACCTAATTTTGCTCTCTGTCACAGCTTAAGTTGAATAGCAGATCATTGTAGATGATTTCTTCATAAGTGGTCATTAGAAGACAAGAGTCATTAGAAAGTATTCTATTAGGCAATGAAACATTTAGGAAACATTTAGGCTCAGCAACATCTACGTTAAACCATTTGGCTCACAGCAGTATCCAGAAAGTAGTCCATTTTATTGATTTCTATCTCATTAGAGGAGTGTAACAGAAAAGTCCTCTCATATTCCTTTTAAGGCCATAGTTCCCCTATAGCAGGGGTGTCAAACCTATGGGCTGGATGCATCACGTGCTGGCCACCCCCGGTTTAGCAAAGGGGAAAAAAGTCACATTATGTCACATGATAATGTTGGATGTCGTGAGTGTGACACCCATGTCCTATAGGGTTAGGTGACTATCCTTGAATGGTGGTAAAATTCAGTGTGATGAATGTTTTAGGATCCAAGAAAACTTTGCTATTTATCTATAAGAACACTCCAGGATGCATACAAATACCGTTCTGGTTTTTTTAAAATGTGTTTAGGGAGAGAAAGGTGAATCTGGAACACCTGGCAAAGAAGTAAGTACTTTTCCATAATAATGAGTTTTCTTCACAAGTTTGTTTTTGCCTTTATTCTGTGTGTGTGTGTGTGTGTATACAGCTGCCCTACATAAGAGGTACTACAGACAAAATCAGTAAGATACTACACAGGCATCATATCAAGACTTCCTGCAAGGGAAGTTCCGGTTTGCAGCGCTTTGGGGCAGGCAGGAATCCGCGATTGTGCACGGTTTCTGCCTGCGCTCGCTGCTGGAGTGCCCCGAGCCAGTAGAGGTGATGAAGACAGGGGAGACCTGGCAGGGTCGAGGGGAGCCGCACCTCTCCTCCTCAGCTGGCTAAATTCCCTTTTCCGAAGGCGGTAAGAGCGGCGGTCAGAAATGGCCATCTCAAAGAAGCACTCAGCCAGAAAAGAAAGTGCAGGAGGAAGTTAAGAAGTGAAAGTTTTTGGCTGATTGGGACAAAAAGCAACAATTAAGGTACCCTGGAATTTAAATTTTGCAAAAGATACATCGCTCCCAAAGAAGAGTCGGAAGCAGTGAGCGAAAGTGAAAAGGGAAAGGTTTTTTTGTTTACTCTCCTTCCTAACATTGACAGCGAACAGAAATGAATGAGAAATCGGAAAAACCCACTTTGGCATCAATAGGTAATTAAACTGAATAATTAAATGTCAAGGGGATAATAAGGATTTCTGAACACTAAAAAAAAACAACCTTTTTTTCTTGCTGTAAGTGGGAAGGGAGAGGAAAAGAATAAGAGCAGGATTTGGAAGGAGGAGACTGCCTAGAACTTAAAAGAATCTGATTAAATACTAACAAGACTTCTAAAAGATATATTTTAACTGGAATTTTGTAACTAAACAGTAACCTCAGGAAGAGAAAGTGAAAAAAGAAGAAAGTGTCAAAAGAAACAGCTTGTGTGTATTTGGATTGTTTGGTGACTTTGGGACTTTTGGAAATTATATTTGAATGACTAAAAACACTTGGGTGGTTGTTTGAAAAAAAATTTTTTTACAATGGCATCACTTGTGGATGAACTGAAAATGGAATTTAAAAAATACAAAGAAGAGGAACAAGAAAGGAAGGGCTCTCTTGGCTCTCTTTTTCAATTCTTAGAAATGGCGATCTGTACCTATGAGAAACTACAAGAGGATTGGGACAAAGAAGAAGCCATCTTTAATGAACAAGTAACTTTACTTGGGGAAGAAAGGGGAAAGGAGGAAAAGAAAACGGAGATTTTAAGATCTACAAAAACAACCAAAAAAGGGAAAAATAAGGTGAAAAGTAGATATAATGTTAGAAAACAACAGAAAGGTGGAATACGGAAGAGGGAAATGGAGGTGGAGAGACAAGGGGGTAAAAAGGGCAGAGAGAAGAAGCAAGGGAGGAAGGAAGGGATGAGAAGCTTCAAAGGTGTGGAGCAAGATGTAAAGAAACAGGACTTATTTAGAGATAATGGGTAAAAACTTAACTGAAAAAGTGATTCTGCAAAGGTACATAAGATTGTATTATTATATTTGTATTAGAAATAATGTTAGAAAATTGGAAACAACATGTGATTAAAAAGTGGGTTAAAATACTCAGTGTAATTCAGTGAAACTTTTGTGAACAAAAGGAAGGAAATGAAATAAATGAGAGAATTGAATTAGGAAGGAATGGGAACATTTTAATGACACAATGTTTTAAAATATAAGTGAAGTGGGGGAGAAATAATTATGGAATGTTTATAAGTGTTCCCATAGAAGTATGATACTTATTTGAAAAGTAATGTGTAAAATGTTTAAGATTTAAATGAATATTAATATTAATGATAGATTTGAATTAGTATGGATTGTTGTTTTAATTATATATTTATAATTTTTTCTCTTTTTAAAATATAGTGTGTAACTTTAGAATGTACTAAGCAGAATCCAAATGGAAGTTATGTATTATACTAAGTATTATAAATTTAGGGGAAAGAGATAAAGGCGTCATACTCCAATCAGTAATTACAGGAGAAATTTTGTTTAAAGAGAAAAGATAATAGACAGCTGGAAACAGGACAGACAAAGAATATAAGCATAATGATCTGAACTGAGATGAGATAAATAAAATAAAATGTAGAATGGTAATAAGATATGGAATGGTATATAAAATGAGCATGAATTTGAATTTGTGTCTGTACGAAGAGATGTAATCCGGGACCAAGCTGCTTTCAAAAAAGATGTTTTATGTTTTGTTTGTTTGTGTTTGTTTTTGAAAATCAATTAAATTTGTTTTTTAAAAAAAGACTGCCTTCAAAACAGACAGAAATATAGCAGCCATCCTAAGAAACCCCAAAGATAAAATTGACCTGGAAAACCAAGGCATATATGAAGTCTCCTGTGCATCATGCCCTGCCACATACATCAGACAGACCAACAGAAGAATAAGTACCCACCTGGATGAACACAAAAATGCAGTAAAAACGCTGGAACACATTTCCTCATTTGTCCAACACATGAAAGCCAAAGGTCATAGCATCGACTTCAGTGGCACCAAAACCCTAGCCACTATAGAAAACCCCAGCTACAGAATTATCAGAGAAGCCATAGAGATTGAAAAAAAGACCTGAAAGCATGAATAGAAGAGATGACTCCACCAGACTGTCAATTATCTGGAAGCCTGCACTCACAAACAAAAAAATCTCCACACCACAAGCCAAGCAACCACCTGGGCACAAACAGATCCCCCCGATACCTCCAGCTCAAACACACCCCAACCAGGCACCCAGATGAAACCTAGCTTCCTAATAAATGATAGCCATCTGTTTACTCGCACTGAAAGCCTCCAATACAGGAAACACAATGTTGCCAGCCAATCAAGACAAAAAAATGCTACAAAACAAACAGAAGATATTAGAAACACCAATCAAGCAGAACACAGCAAACTCCAAGACCAATAAACACAGACCAAGACTCCCAACCAATCAGGATGAAGAAAAAAACCATTCTAACACAGCAGTAGGCTAGCACCAAATTTAAAACAGAAATGGCTGTGAAAGCCTGATTCACAGACGAACACTATACAGAAGCCTGATGATGGCAGATGAGATTCTACCGAAATATTGCTACAAGTTTAAAAGCATAACTATAATGATGTGGGAAAATACCCGAGCAAAGCTGAATACCATACATATAGATAACCGCGAAAACTTAAGAAAACATATATATATATATATGTATATGTATATGTATATATACATACGTACGTACGTACATACATACATACATACATACATACATACTGTTTCACAGTAAAACATATGGAGGTTTGTGCGCACAGAAAATGCTATGCATGCAGAGAACCATGCTAGATTCTGATATAATTCTCCTGTAAGTTGTGAGTAGGGAGAGATTTATCTTCACCACTTCAATTCTCACAGCTTGCTTCTTCCCAATCTGTGAGAATTGACACATGGGTGAAGTTTAGGGTAAAAAAAATCTCTAGTCAACTTGCCTAGTCTATAAATTGTTCTTTCATGCAAGCATTTTAGAAAAAGAGAATTAGATTTAAGGTATAGGGCTTTATAAAGTCATAAGTATATAGGCTACCAAGAAAAGAAAAAGGTAATATTCAGAAACATGGGTGTGGGGAGACCTCTAGCAAGTTATTAGAGCCCACAAATTCTCTGCAGAGAAGAATTTACAACGAAGTCCTTGATGTCTCCTGTTAAAAGGAGAAAACAAGGTTGGATAAGATCCTTGGCTCAGATTCTGCAAAGCTGTTGCCAGTTTTGAAAAGGCCACAGGAAAGCTCCCTACACACGATATCTAACTGTGTTTGTCTCTCTTTTTTTGACAGGGTCCCGAGGGTGTTAAAGGAGAGAGAGGAGCAAGTGGACCTCCAGGGCCTCCAGGACCATCAGGTGTTCCCGGCATGCCTGGACAAGTTGGTCCACCAGGCCAGGTAATTTCTTCCTCCTGCAGAATCTACAATAGGAAAAGATAAATTGCAATAGATTATGAACATTAAGCCTCAGCAAAAACTAGCTTGAAGATGGATAAAGGCTGAAATTCATTATGGGGAGTGTGTGCATGAATATGCAAAAAGGATAGAAAAACACAGAACTGAAATTGAAAAGCCAGTGAGAGAAGTTGAAACAACACAAAGTAAAAAAAAGGCTTTGGAGCAGAATAATTTGCATCTACATGCATACATATATAAGCAAAGAAAAACGTAAACCTTTTAAGTATGCATTTTAACATTTATGTTTAGAATCGTATTTATATAATGAAGGACAACGTATTAAAATATTGCTCATATAATCAGTAATTAGTATATTGAATAAACCTATTTTTTCATTTAGAGCTTTTCAAACCTTTTTATTGCTGAATTAGGTTTTTTTAAGCACAGCAATTTTCTACATTGTTAATATCACTAATCCTCTAGAAGAAGTTACCTTTGAAGTGTTCTGCAACAGCAAGCTTATCACACAAGAACAGGAAATGGATGGATGCTTATATTGTATCAATATTTATTTATTAGGAAAAAGTGGCAATAAGCCAACAAGCCGGCTTTGGAATCAAAAATAGTTAGATCTTTTATCAAAGTTCTCCCCAATATTTTCAAAAGTTTTCAAATTAATTGGGCATTGCCAATGAAAATGATAATGAATACAAATACATTTTACAGCAATATAATTTATCAAATTTGTAGTTACTATGATGCAGTTTAAATAGATTGTAATCCCATCCCTTTTCTTCATGATCAGTTCCTGTGGACTTGGTATGAAAATAATTATATGCCCACCCACCCCCAAATCATCATTAGATCTCATGGGAATCAATCAAAATCTCATTATCTTTTCAAGAGAACCATTTGTAATTAATGAAATAATTTTTGTGAGAATTAATAGTAAATAAATATGCATTGCATTAAACAGGAAGAATTTAGATTTCCAGAAATCAGTTTGAAACAATTCTTGGTGAATTTTGTTTTGGTTTTGCCAAAGGATTCCTTTGAAATGGTCATACAGAATGTTTATTTAAAGTGTTCCTGGTATTGCTCATGTGGTTTGTTGTTATCTTGAGTTTTCTATCCTTGCTTAGTGGCTATTTAGCAAACATGTTGGTTGGTCTCAATAGGATAAGTATCTCTTTCTAGTTCTCTAATAATACATTTTGCTATTTTCAGAGCTTGCCCGGCCTCCCTGGAATATCAGGCCCCAAGGTAAGCAAAAATCTACTACACATTGTATCACATCAATAGAATTGTAAAAAAAAAAAAAACACCAAAGTGCACCTCATAAATTCAGTCTGGACTATGCCAAAATCTGTTTAACATTCAACAAAATTAAAACAATTTACTTCATTTTTTTGTGGCAATACCTACAATAGAAATTACAAAATAAATATTGACAGTTGCTTATTATTTATTTCAATTCATAAGACTTCATCTTTATCTCAGCAAATAACAGATAAAAACATAAAACAATAATATCACCATAAATGCAAATTAGTAACCAGATCAAAATATATAGAAGTATCAATGCAAGCATCTTGCAGATTGGACCACATTTCCAACCCCAATACGTATCTATTTTTTATAAATCTAGATTGAATTATAGATGGTATTACCATACTTGCAGATAAACTGAGAATTTTAGGTTCCGCTTATTCATAATGATATACAAAAAGGAATACTTTTTAAAAGCACCTGTATATACTCATGGATAAGCCAAAAGAAAATACCATGAAAAACATGCTACTGTGAGTAAGCCAATTGTGAAAATTTTAAATGAAATCTGTTCTTGAAAAGATTATTTATTGATGCAAAATATTAAAATAAATGATTTTTTTCAGAATATATTGACAAAAAAACCTTGAGGGTTGGTTTATCCATGGGTGGGACATTTTTCCATGGAATTTTGGTTAAAAATTTGAGGGTTGGCTTATGCTTGGATGGACTCATTAAAGAATGTTCAGTATATGGTAGTTTTTGTGAATTCCTGAAAAACTTGAATATTTTAGCATCCACATTAAGCAGATATATTGATCTATACCTTTCACATCTTGGGAGGTCTTCCTCAATCTTTAATATCTTCAAGAGCAGAACTGAATTTCTTTGTAATTGTCAGCTCAGTGACTCCTCATCCTATTCTGTTTCAGGGAGACAGAGGAGAACCTGGATTCAAAGGAGAGCAGGTAGGCATTTCTCCCCAGGAATTTAACCATTCAAAATCAATTATTTCTAGAGCTTTGAAACTCATTATGGAGGATTTCATGACACAAAATTTGGTCTAATAGGAATCCCATTTTATTAACTATGAATATGACTTTCACTGAGCCCATCTCTCCTTTCTTTTAGTTATTTAATAATGAGATCTTCAGTGAGGTTTGATAGAACCTAAAGCACAGTAGGATCAGGTAATATTGTGTGGCACAATTATTAGCAGATCAATGGCCACTGATAGGAATCGTCCATTGCTTATGCCAGGTGTACCCTGCATTTGGAAAGCTCCCCGAGTTATCATCTAACATAGCAATCCTAATATATTAGTAATTCATACAGTATGCCAGAGATCTCTGCATTTGTGCATTCCAGTGGTTGGTTTCTGATCTGTTTTATCACTATGATGAAAAAGACCTTGGAAGACAATGATTCTGGAGTGTAACCCAGTGATTAATTTGGAAATTGCTGTAACAGTAATAGCATACTGAAACTTTCCATAAGAAATTAGTCAAATGATTTACTTCATCCCTGCCATCAATAAAAAGGACTGACAAGATACTGTAGAAGATTTTCTAAAACACTGTGGATGGTGTCCTTGCCTCTTGGATCTCTGATCTCTGTTTCTAATCTGAGAAAACATCTGCCTTTCTACTGTCCTTTAACTCTGATTGCCAAGGTTCTGCTTCAGAAGTGTATAGTCTATGGCAAAATCCAGATGTACACCCTGTCATTTGGACTATTTTCATTCTAATTTTTTATTTTAACTTTCCTTCAGGGGAGAAATGGTGAACCTGGGCCACGTGGTGAACCTGGGACAGCATCAGTGAGTGAGCAAAAGTATTATTTCAATTTTTCATCTTGAAAGCGTAGGAAGGAAAATTTACTCCTGCAAAAGTTTATTAATCAATCAATTTTATTACAGTCATAGACCAGCTTTCCCTGTGAAAATTTAAACTGAGAAGAATGAATAATTTTATCCTGGGAACATGGCTTGGATCATGGATAAAAAATATTCCTACTACTGAATGTTTGGTCAGGATTTTATTAAAATATTTATAAAATATTTAAGGGATTTATAAGACAGGTAAATTATTGAATAAAAAGTTGTTGGAGTAACAGAGCTATCAGAGTTTGCTAATCAGGAGTGTTATTTCTCAAGAACATGGGCATGACATTAAAATGATCTCTTAAATTTGGACTGAGTACAAGGAAAGATCCTAGCCTACATAAGGCAATTGTCATCTGATTCCATTATGTTTGATGTTTATTTCCGATGGTCTATTTTAATTTTATTTTATTTTTTGCTCATGGATCCCCATTTCTGTTTGTCTAGAATGTTGAACGTGCCCTAGAAGCACATGGTATTAAGGTAGGAATTCGGTTTACATCCTCCATCTTATTTCTGTTCTGTACATATCACTGTCCCTCCCTCAGAACCCCCAGCTGGCTCTGTAAGTGAACATCTAGAAAGAGATTTGCTTCCAGCCTGTATATATGTATAAATGACCACTTGAACAAGTTGTTTTGGAATTCTGATAGCCAAAGTAACATAACATATATAGAGTTTAAAGTAAAGTATGAGAATCTTTATGTCTGAGCTAAATTCCCTCAGTGCCATAATGACATCGAATTGAGTTGGAGCCATCATTCTCTCTCATTTTTAAATAAGTTCAAGGAACGTTAGTTTATAAATGTTTGCATTTTAGATTGTGTTCAGTGATTCTTCTTTACTTCCTCATAGATTTCCCTACTTCGAGAGATCACTGGTGCTTATGACGGCAGCTCAGATCAGCTACTACCTGTCCCTGACCGCCGGAGAGGACTGAAGGGTGAGAAAGGAGAGCCAGGAGACAGAGGGCCACCAGGGAAGGAGGTAAGGTTGATTTTTAAATACATAAGTATTAAGTGTATACTTTGTAGTTCTTTTTAGTCTAGTTTGGAAAAGTTCTTCACACATATATAAACAAAACTCTAAACTCTATACATGATATTTTCTTGAATACTGTGTCCTGAACCCAAATACCATAGTGATGATGTAGACGAATGGATTCAACATTGATTAATGCTTATATATTAGTATTCCTATAGAATTATTTAGAAAAAGTTCATTAAAAGTGGGGCAGAGACCCCAGGCAACCAATCCACTACTTTCCTAAATGTCTAAATTCTGTGATAAAAGGCCAGTTTTCAGTTGAGGCTCTCAGATATGAATTGCAATGTTTGAATAATAAAATATAAAATAGTAAGTTGCAGTACAGCAGACCTGGGTGACTTCTGTGAAGTTGTAACTCAGCTTCTCTGGAAGACAGCAAAGTTTTTTCATGAAGATGGGTGTGCCTGAAAGTTTCCATGATTTGGGTAAGTGTTAAGAAATAGGAAAAGCAAACTTTTAGTATTTGTTGCATCCCAGCAACTAGTTTCCCATAGATGCTGCTTAACCCTTTTTATTGCAGGGGGGGGGATGTAAATGTTGCTCTACATAATAACTAAATACTTTCCCTTTTATCTCTGAGTAAGATTTTTTTTTTGCAATTTCTTGTTAATCACCCTTTGGTAAACAGGAAATACAGCCAACATTTACCTGGTAAGGAAATAATTCATAGTGCTTTCAATTTTCAAAATGAATGGCCTTCAGCTGCTTCTCACTCATAGGTCAAGAATGATTTGAAGATTTTAATACATATAGTTTGAGCCTTCAATTACCAACTGCTGATTTTGTAGACAAGTTTCCAGTATCTGCAATAAAGCAGTCTTTTTTTAAAAAAAAAGCGATGTCCTTGAATTTCTGCCTACCAAGCTTTCTATTCCAGAATCTGCCTAAGTAAAAGCCTGACTATTCCTTGTAGGGTCTCATGGGCTTTCCTGGGGAAAGAGGAGCAAAAGGAGATAAAGGGAATGAAGGACCACAAGGACCACCAGGACATGCCATTGGAGAGCCCGGGCCAAGAGGAACCCCTGGCCAACCAGGGGAACCTGGGAAACCTGGAATTCCAGGGCTGCCAGGCCGGGCAGGAGAACTTGGAGAAGCAGGGAGGCCTGGAGAGAAAGTAAGCAGAAGTATGAGCCCCGACTGAAAAGCTAAAAAAAAATTCAACAGGAGCAGTGAAATAGTCTTGACTTATTCTTTGTGTGAATGTATGCTTTTTTATTTTATACATTTTGACAAGCTTGGCTTTAGAGCAGGGATTCCCACATGTGGCAGCTTTAAGGCTTGTGGACTTCAATTCCCAGCATAGCTGGCTGGAGAATTCTGGGAATTGAAGTCCACAAGTCTTAAAGTTGCCACGTTTGAGAACCCCTGCTTTAGAGGGAACCTCTTAAATGGGATTGTTTATTATAAAACATGTCTGAATATTTATTTATTCATTGCAGAACCTGCATGTATTTATTTATGTCACTATAAAGTTCTGCAACTGACAAAAACAAAACAGTATACATAATAACAGTAAAACCATTTAAAGTGCCTCTAATACATAGCTGGCTGGAGAATTCTGGGAGTTGAAGTCCACACGTCTTAAAGTTGCCAAGTTTGGAGATCTCTGCTCTAATAGTTCCCCACTACAGTGGAGAAACAAAATCATACAATAACCTCATGGGTTTTTTTTCCCCCCAAAAAAGAATTCGTTTTACATTTCTAAACTTAAACTGAGATTAGAGGATGTTAGAAGTCATGCGACTATATTGATTATCTCTCTTTAAAATGTTATTTTCATATTTCAGGGCGACAGAGGTGATCAAGGTGCAAAAGGAGAACTCGTGAGTAGGAGTAAAAAGTCCTTTTGGAGTAGGGGTAAAGCTCAGCTCCATGTGACTTTATAGGCCCAAGTAATTGTTTTGGCAACTGTATAAAATTGGTTTGCTATTGTCTTCTCCTATGATATTTTTAGATTCTCCTATCTAATGCATAGTAAGAGGTTCAAGCAAAGTAAGATGCCAGGGATGTTTGCGTGCTTTGTACTTTGTTAAGTCCTGGGATTGCACAGACAGGGCCATGTTCTGCTTTTATGGGAAATCTATCAATCCCACCCAAAGATATGAATGCCAGGCTGCATAGCAGGTCCCCCTGGCTCAACAGAAAGCCTATGCAGAAATGGTGGTTTGAGAGTAAGTCCTTCTAGGATCTGTCACGGTTACCAGCCTTATAGCTAATTCCAGCAGCTGGAATTAAAGCTCTACAAGTACATACACATGGCCAAGAGAGTACTTATATCAACCCCCACCAAAGTTCCCCTGGAAGCAATTTTGCATTTTACTTCTACCTGTGCTCTTGACTAGACTGACCAGCTGCAGCTCAGGGTTAATTATATAGAATATTATTTTCTGTGTTTCATTGACCTGAGTCATTCTTCATGTCTTCCCTTTCATCTTCAGAAGAACTTTATGAATAAATATACACACACAGTGATCTCCTGTCTGTTGCTATCAATGCTGGCAACTCCACATGCAAATGCATGCATGATGTTTGCCTGGCTCTTTGTGCTGGCAACTTGGTGCATATCTTCATTCACTCACTCTTGAACCTTGATTAATGTGTGTTGCATCCACCATGTTACCTGCAGCTAAACCATGAAATTGTGTTTTCTAGTGATCTCTTTAGATATGCAAACTTAAACTTTCTTGAAATGGAACAGTGTAGAGAACTTTGGAACATTCTATTCCTGCTTTAGATCATGTTGCTCCCAGTGTTCCAGACATCATGTTCTAGGCAGAGATACTTCATTTAAAAGTTCATGTGATACCAACAAGTTTTTTAAAAATTTGAGTGAGCAATCAGTGGGAAAAGGAATTGCATATATGTTTGTAGGTCTGCTATGTGTCTGCTCTGCATTACTCCCCATTTAGTTTTCACAGAGATTCCCACACAGGTGTTTATAGTTAAATTTCAAGTAATCACAGTCCCCTACATATGTCTTCCCACACATGTGTGTATATGTCCAAATTGACATATACATATAAATTGACATTTAGAGCCCTGCTCAAAGCACTGTTTCTTTGAGGAAATTGGAAGCTGTGAAGATCCTCCTACCATTGCTTTTCTAATCTAAAATCCATCGATATAGCAACCACTTGCCTTGCATCTTTTCTGTTGTTTTTTTTAAGGTGCCTAGATTCTGTTACAGTTTTTTGTAAGTAGTTAGTTTGAAAAAGAACTCATGATCTCTGATCTTTTCTCTTTAAAAACAACACAGAAAGTTTGTAGCTGCAACCTATGGAGAGGCAAAAGAGAAGAGACCTCTAGCAATGGTGCATTTTGTTGTTTTTTTATCTGGTATTTCTTGTCCACAGGGTAGAGATGGCCCACCAGGTCCTCCAGGCCCACCGGGACCCAAGGTCTGTTGGATTTAAAATAAGTTGGCTACCAAATGACAAAAGATTAAGAAGTTAATTTTTTGACCTTTAAGAATAAGACTACATGACCTACTATATTTTCCAGTCCTTATATTTTGTAATATAAGACATGATAGCAGTGTTCTGATATCTCAGGGGCTGCCATAAAGAAGAGGGAGTGAAGCTATTTCCCAAAGCACCCGAGGGCAGGACAAGAAGCGATGGGTGGAAACTAATCAAGGAGAGAAGCAACTTAGAACTAAGAGAAAAAATTCCTGGCAATTAGAACAAAACATCAGTGGAACAACAGAATTTGCGAATGCTCCAACACTGGAAGTTTTTAAAAAACACTTTAAAGTTTTTAGTTACTGTATACGTATGTGAAGCCCTTGGTTTATGATAAGCATGCGCTTTCTGTGGGAGAGTTGAAATGTCATTAAATCTGAGAGGTTCTTGTAGTTGTGTTGAGAATGTGACTTTTGTTGATAATATTGTGGTCACGAACAGGAATCTATAGAAGTTTGTATGAGAGAGAGGCAGAGGCTGTCAAACTGATGACAAGACTGACATATTTATGTGCTTTCAGGTAGATTTAACAGTAGAAGGGAGCCTCTCTGGAATTCTTGGGGAACGTGGACCTACAGGACCCAAGGGAAGCAAGGTTAGTGAATCCCCCCCACCGCCGTTATTTTTTTCAATCGAATTATCTTCCTATGTGGTGTGCATTTTGATTGGGGAGCATCATTTGTTTAGTCTATAGGATTGCAATGGAAGGATTCAACATTTATGTGATCTTGCAGTTGTATACCACCTTCTTTATACTGATTGTTTCCTAGTATGATTTGATTGTGTCAGCTTCCGTTGGGTACTGGATACTTTTTACAAAAAACCATGTTACTCACAAATAAAGATGTGTGAAGTTAAGATTTATTGCAGTTCTTCTGATCACGATCAGTCACAACAAACAGAACTTATTTATACTCTATGACTATCATTAAGTGTTGTACTTTATGATTCTTGATGAATGTATCTTTTCTTTTTATGTACACTGAGAGTATATGCATCAAGACAAATTCCTTGTGTGTCCAATCACACTTGGCCAATAAAGAATTCTATTCTGTTCTGTTCTATTCTAATTCTATTCTATTCTATTTGCTAGTTTTGTTTTAAAATTTTGTTTTAAAAAGTTGTATTTTTAATAAGAGATGTTCTGGTCTCTTCTGTGAGCAAAAATTCTTTCAATCTTGAAGTGAGCACCACAAGTCAGAAAATGTAAATGGTTTATTAATATGGTGTCCCACCTACTGCGAGTCTGTTGATGATTGTTTTGATAGCAGGACATTTTCCCTGTTTTTTTTTTTTGTTTGTTTTAGTAAAGCCTTTGTACTTTAAGGCTTGGAGGTAATCATTCCCTTTTTTATTCTTGCACAGGGAGACCCAGGAGAAGATGGTGCAAAGGGCTCCAGAGGCGATAAGGTCTGAATGTAGTAAGTTTCTCCTCTCTGCTCTTCTCCAGCTGTCCTTGTGTCTGTTCTGTGCCTCCACTTGTGAGAGGGAATTCTTCTTTCCTGCAAGTGTTTGATGTGCTTTAATATTATTTTATCTCTGTCTCTTTCATTGTCTTAATGAATAATTCAGCAGCCTCAAGGGGTCTTTTATTCCCAAAGGTGAATAAAAACACACATGCTGTGGCTCAGAAGTTCAGCCTATTTGAAACCCAAATAGCTGGCTTCCACCAGGTTTCAGCCAGGGTGTTATGGCAAGGCTGGTGCAACTTGTCCCTTTTTCTCTTTCTTCTTCGCATGGCCTGTTCACTAAGCCACCTACCAATCTTCCCAGTGCTTTGCTTTCCTTGTTCCCAGTTAACAATTGCTATGTATTAACTATTGTCCTTGAATTAACTGTGCTATATCTGACTAACCTGCCTAACCTCCACACTATCTCATTCAATGATTTGCAGAGCTCTCATTTTTCACCATCAGAGCAATGGTGCAGTAAGAATGAGATAGCTTTGTCCACTAAGATTACTGATCTCCCTTGATTGTATTACCATTTCTATTAGTGACCATGAATTTTCTGCAAGAATCTTTTGCTATTGGTTTGCATTATACTACATTTCTTTTGGAGCTGAGACTGAAAATTTTGTGGGAGGTTTTGTCTGTTTGTTTATAATTACAGACCAATTTTCTATAATCAGACTAGAAACTATGTATTGGCTTCATTTCTGTCGGAAACATTTAAAATGCTATGAAATGGTTATGTCAAGATATTGATGAAGGAGCCAAGGAAGAGTTGGGTTTTTGTGGCAAAACTCACAGGAAGAGGGATAATGACATTATTCGCAATCACTTATTACATTTTATGGTTGTTAATAGTATTGTTTACCTGTTGCTTGTATGTCTTCCAGATTCACAATTGCTTAAGTTGGGCAACCATAAACATTCCATAAATAAACAATCACATCATGGAAATAGCCTCCTTTTGTTTTATTTTTTAAATTATACTGGGTTTTTATTTTATTCTTTGTGCTATTTTGCATTTAAGAAACACTAAGAAAGAAATTATAGTAAAGGATAATATACTAATAGAAATCCCTTGGACCTAAATATGTAGTTAAAAGGCATCAAATCCATTGCTTTCAGTAAAATCTAGGACACTTATATTTTTCAGGCTTGCTTCCAAGGAGTATATAGGAGATCTCAGTCTTTCAGTGACCTTTGTAGAAGGCAAAGGAGAAAGTCAGAGCTCTCCTGGTCTTGGCAGCCTTTCTACTTTTGGTTGATCTGAACTAACCAGCAGAAATTAAACTGGCCATTGTAATGCAATCAATGATTCTGGCTTGTGTGGTATGGGGAGTTGACACCATAGAGCTGCCAATTTCCCTTTTGTAATGTCATGCCATCTTGGGTTGCAGGGTGAAGATGGTCAAAAAGGGGACAGAGGTCAAGCTGGTGAAAAGGGCAGGGATGGCACTCCAGTGAGTATTAATGATGTATCGTTGTCAAAATGATGACAGCTACTGCAACAAAGCAACTCTGACATCCGAATTTATCCTGCTTTTTAACAGTGAATGTCTTACTTTCAGAATGGGCCTGTTCTATTACCGTGTATAGTTATTATTGCATTGCACCATTGTGGCTTTGTTGGCTGCTACTTATTCTCCATTTTCTGCAGGGACTTCCAGGAGAGAGGGGCCTTCCTGGATCAGAAGGAAAAGCGGTAAGTATAAAAAGTTCAGCCTTGGCATAGAAAACCTTATGGTACATGGGAAAAGAAACTCAGGATAAGACAGCAAAAGAAAAGGAGTATTGTTGGAATTCTAAATGAGAGAATGTGACAGGAAGGTGCAGCCCACAAGTCCCAAAGAAAACGTACGCTCCCTATATCCCATAAGACAACAGTATTTAATGGAGGGGACCTGAAGCACACCAACTCTGCTGAAAGGTCCTGGGTGGGCAGAAACAACTGGAGACAAGTTGCCTCTCCATGAAGAATGTTCTGTTTATTGGAACTGCAGTGTCTCCGTAGCACTGAGAAACCAGGATACATTTTATTTATGAACCACGTTTGAAACTAGTTTTCCCGAGTTTCTTAATAATAATTAGTTTTAAGTGTAAATTGGGTTGACTTTTCAAATCATTTCTAGATCTCTTCTTACTAAACTCTTGCATAATTGGATCTGATGTATTGTTTGCTTTCCAGTGCCTTGGTAGACCATATTCAGCTTAGGGAGGCCTCAGCAGAAGGGTTTTGCTTACTCCTCATCACTTACAATTATGCTTGTTTCTTACATATGTCCAGAACACCTATAAACAGACATGTGAGTCATTGTTCAAAATATACAGAAATATTCAAGCATCTGAACAAGAGAAATGAATATGTTGGAATCAATCAGCTATTCTGTGATGACATTTTTTCCTTTTGTATGACTGTTTGTTTTTTAGCCAGTTTGGTTTAGTAGTGGTTAAGGTAAAAAAAATTTTTTTTTTTTACCTTTTTTACCTTTAAGGTAAAAATAAAAAATAAAAAGCAGGAGGCCAAAAAGCAGGAACTCAAGTCCCACCTTAGCTGGTGTTCAGGCTTGGTGACTTTGGGCCAGTCATTCTCTCAGCCCAACCCATGTCACGAGAGGGTTGTGGTGGAGAAAAAAAAAACAATAGGAGGAATTTGCGTTGGATATGTTCGCCACTTTGAGTTATTTGTAAAAATAATAAAGGCATGAGATAGATACAGTAGGTAGGTATGTAGGTAGGCAGATGGGTGGATGGATGGATGGATGAATAGATAGATAGATAGATAGATAGATAGATAGATAGATAGATAGATA